CGTGAGTCGCACCACTCCTTCTGTGTGGAGCACATCGACTCACGAGGACTTGCTTTCCACAGGATAGGCAGGGGCTCTGTGTGTGTGTGTGTGTGTGTGACGGGCCAAGCCTTCTCCATTGGCATGTGCCTCCGTCTCTCCGTCTCATGATTTTGGGTTCGATGTCCGCCGTAGGCACTGTAGGCGCGGTAAGCGCCAGGGCCCACTCAATTTCCAGCGCCGTTGGCAGGTTGTTTGCAAGGGATAGATCTTTTTGTCCTCTGCTGCTGTTCGGAAAAGACTGTCTAGCATCTCGCAGTGTCAACTGCGGGTCATGCACTGAAAAGCTGAAGCGGAGTCATCTAGTGGCTTCAGGTACAACTGCGGTACACATCTGCAACTGCAATCGCTGACGGGCATTTGAAGCAGAGATCTGTGAGAAGATCCAGAACTGCAAGAAGCAACGGTTGAGCTTCTTCACTGAGGCCAGGCTTTATGACACTGACTTTCCAGTTTTGTTTGCGGTCTTACTGTTGTACCTTGTGCTATTGGTTCATGTACTCGCGATGCTGCACTCATTGCTATAATCTGGACCCCATGAACGGGCCTCTGGAGCCTGGCTGAGCGCAGGTGCTACCTGGAATCCCGAGCAGCCGACTCGGACATGCTCTGACAAGCATTTTACCTAACAGGTTACACAGAGGTTACACAGGTGCTTGACAGGATTTCCTACAAGCATTTTTGCATAGCTGCATCACAAAAGTGCGGATGCTAAGTCATCCTCCCAAAGGTCTAGCACTGAGGGTCTCAGGCTGCAGAAAAATCAGGAAACAAAGAAATCTTGTGCACCTGGTTCTGATTCGGATCAGGTACATGGGGCGATTGGTGCTGCCGTGTTCTCATCACACACAAGACTATCCAACACCGGTTTACAGGGCTGGCAGGTGGTATGAAAGGCTCAAGTACTATTCTAGGAGCCCTTGGTCGACGTGGTCCGGCTGTAGGCTCATTTCTTCAAAGTAAACTGAGATTACCAGACTCTTTTTGCGAATTATTTCCTTCCAAACAGCCCCGCCTTGTCAAGAGTTCGCAATTCTTCTCGGCCATGTGCAAACTTGCAGCTGCTTCCGTTGATGCAGTGGCCGTTGGCATAGTACTTGCACAGCTTCGTCTTTTCCCATCTGCGCTCCTAAGAGAATCGCATTCACAGCACCGAAGTGCTGGACACAATTCATGTCAAAAGACGCCGCAGACGATATCAAATGCATGTTCCAGGGGACTATTTGAGTCTTGTTGTTCGGAGGTCAAGCATGCGAGATAATGACTGGTTACAGTTCATCCCATGGTAGATGTTGGGGATCGCTTTCGGCAGGTGTACCAAACAGCTAGACTCTACTCCATCTGGTTTGACATGCTCGTTGTGTGCACCATTCTGCTTTAGGCTCACGCAGGCCTCAACCTCTTCGCGAAATCTCGTGGGTCTCAGAATGCCAGGCAGTGCTTCTGCCTGCATACAAAGGGAAGCTTAGCACAAACAACCTTCCCCTCAACTTGTCTTCTTGCTTTGCCTGGGAGCATGATGCTGTGGCTAAAGGGAGCGAAGTTGGCCACCTTGTGTCCAGGAATGTCACGTTTCTCTTCTTGCTCATCTCCTCAACCGCCGGCTCTGTCAGCTCATGCGCAAGAATCACCGCTTGGATCGGAGGAGCCTCGGAGCTGAGGTCGAGGCCTGCCTCCCCCAAGGTCTGGAATTCGTCTAAGACTGTACCATCTCCACCCACCAAAGCGCTGATCTCCACATCCAGCACTTTTTCAGCCCGCTGCTTGGTAAGGAGAACTGAATCGCTTTTCCTGACTGGAAGCACTGCCATCCGGCCATTGAGTAGGGCAATCCGCACCTGCGGCGCTAACCTCAGTCCCAAAATCATGATTCTGGCTCTCAGCATTATTCCTGACCTTTCATTGCTTTCTCAACCGACATATTATGCCTTTGATTTATGCTTGGAAGCCCAGGGTGGACGCTTGCCAACATTCAGAATGTCAGCGGAGAAGAAGTGGCCGGGTTCGGGCTTTTGCAGGGCTGCGCCAGTGGCGCCATCGCAGCACTTGCCCCACCACTTGAGCCGTTTGTGGTGCGGGCAGTATGGTATGGGGCCTTGCCGGGCGGTGCAGGCATCGGTTATCCCGGCAGCGGCTCCCGACCACAATGAGCGTTTATTGCTAGTGCTATGCAGCACAGCCAAGTCTACCACCAAGTTGAGTCTTCCAGTGGATGAAATCGCAAACCAAGATCATTCAAGATGTGCTGGTCATGAGAGACACAGGTCGGGCTCCACTCTTGACTTCAGCTTGATGTGACTGTTTCTCGAAACAGGCTAACTACACATAGGTAATGAGGGACTATATAGCGCGCTTATTCACGATCATGTAAGGAATCTGTTGAGGAATCCCGCTACGTAAGGAACGACTCGTTTATGATGGTATTCGGTCGATTGCAAAAACACTCTGAGGCCCCTCCGAAAGTAAGAAGGCTGAAAATTGTAGTAACCAGTGTCGTGCCTGGTGTTGCCTGTACCAAGCCTCAAAAGCTGCGGTGTCCACCTGTTGCAGCTTCTGGTCAAGCCAATTGAAGATGTCTGGGTTCATCCTTGGAACCACTTCCACACCAGCCATCATGTCTGTCTCAGGCAAGATAACAACTTTACCAAGGAAGACAAAGTTGTCCCCGTAGGCATATGCCAGCCTAGTGGCCAAGGAATTGTCAGGGGGGCTTACCAGCTTCGCACTGTCTACGAAGTAAATGTTGCAGCCACCCAATCGTCGGCATCTTATGTCGTCTTTCATGGCGTGCAGATGCTCGGCGAGAATCTTGTCTTTCTGCTTCTCTGCAATTCCAATGAAGCTTGCAGCACACTCATCCAATGTGCGAAACTCGGGTCTGCAAACAAATCCGCGCAACTTCACACCTTGCAACTGTAGGTTGTACGGCTTGACTAACCTGGAACTCTAATGACGCGCAGGATCATCCTTGCTCATGGCTTGATGGAGGTACACTGCTAGCTTAGTAGCCGGGGTTTCCTTTCAAAGCATTAAGAATGCCGCGGGCATGAAACCTTCAAATGCAACCCCTCTTAAGACAGTGTTCACTCCCCAAAGTCAAGGACGGCAGAACTTAACAGAAATGATCCCTGGCTGCTTAGCCCTACCCTGTCACTGCATCTTGGTCTCAGCTTCTGCACCTTTGAGCCCCACCCTGAGAAGGCTCAAAGCTCAAGCCTCACGGCATATCCACGGCTTGCAAGCCGGCAGAAGAGTGGATGAAGGCTGATTCTACAAGGGTTATATAGGAGGATATCTAAGGATAATGGAAAAGAAAATGGAAACTATAGGGATTATAGGGTTATAGGAGATTATAGAGGTTATGTAGCAGTCGATCAAGGCTTGCAGACCACTGACTGCCTTTTTTTTGCAATCCTGCTTCATGTACCCGCCTCTAGACCTGCAGCAATCCTGCCTTCTGACATAGGGAGATGCTTGCAGGCAGGTTCATGCTACACTTTCATATACTCTCAAATCCCAGAATATACCAAAATGAACTATAACATACTATGAATTACTATAAAATGCTAAAACAGAATATAGTATGAAGAGTAAAAAACACACAGCATTGAGCTCTGTACAACTGGCGACGGCTAGCAAGATGAATGTAGTGAAGCAGTTTCGTAATGTCACTCCAGCCTTTGAGAAATAGAGGGGCTGTGGTATTCCTTATTAACAGCAAAACCCCCTAGATTTTCGAGCGTTCAAATCCTGAAAACACCAACGCACGTATCGTTTGGCTTTATTCCGGGAGGGCTATGGTAGTTCTTATTGAGGAATAGAGGAGCTGTTGTATTGCTTCTTGAGACATAGAGGAGCTGTGGTGCTGCTTATTGAGAAATAGAGGAGCTGCGGTATTTCTGATTAACAAGTAGCGGAGCTGTGGTATTTCTAGGAATTAAAGCCAAAACGCTTTATATTTTCAAGTTCTACTCCTGCCTAATCTCCTACTCGTCCCCTACTCGTGCCTAATATCCTACTCGTCTCTACACACACTATTACTTAAAATTGCTCGCCATTACTGGACTTTACCCGCTCCTGCCGGGAATGCTGAATAATGCATCTCGTATGTTCTCCGTTATTTATCTCTTCCCTTTTATCTCCACAATCAATACTTGAATAAAATACGTTTATCAACATTAGGATCTTTACGCTATGTTGATTTATTGCGCTTCAGTATTTTCTGATTGCTTGCTTCAAAGAAATTAGGCGTAATAACAGCTTTTCCAATTTCTGCGTGATGGATGATGGGATCACGTTATTGTAGTGTCAAACAATGTCAAATAGAGATATTCGATGATGTTCGCGCTTGAACTTCATGCAATTCACAGCTTTCCACCCCATTAGTGCGTTAGGCACGAGGCGCAGGCTTGCAAGGAAACGTAAGCTTTCCTCGATTTCGTGCGCAACTGTTGTGAGGTAAAGAATGCTGGCAGCTTCACAAAGAGTTTCCCCCCGAAACCTCAACCATGCCTGGACATTCCTGGAGCCCCTGGCAAGCTCACATCCCCCAAACTTCCAGTCCTCATTGCACTCCTGACATTCTCAAAGCTCTCTGAACAAGTCAGGAAAGGCTCAACAAACAGCTGTCCAACCAAACGACGACAGCTTCAAAATGAGCTTTGCTTTACACGGTAGATCCTGGTGTGGAAGTGCTCCGCACACGAAAGCTGATTTTTACCTTTCCATCCATCTGTGGCTATCTCCCTGCTGCATTGTCTGCCGTGTGATTCACCGCCAACGCCACCACCCTTCCTAATGCATCACCCGAAAGAATTGGATTTTAGGTTGATGAAAGGCTAATCGGCCACAAGCCTAATCCTGAATTTCCACGCCCTAAATCCTTAAGACCTTGCACGATGAGACCATGCAAAGCCGGGGATCGCATGACTCTTTAAGACCAGTGTGTGTGGCACTCCATGTCAAAGCTCCAAGAGTGCTGGAATGTAGGGGCAGCTTTCGGCGTGTTCACGGATCGCATGATACTCAATGATTTGCTGGCAACCCTTTTGTTCCAGGGCCGCCTTCTGTGAAATGTCGAGCCAAGCCCTTTCTGAGATGCGGTCATCGCTGAGGCGTCTTGCGTATGTTTTATACCTCATTCTTCACTCAAGTTTCAACGCGGCCAAAAGAATCCGAGATCTGATGGTTGATGATGCTTAATGACAAGTTGCGGGACGTCCAAGCCTGGATCGCTGCGCAGATGCCGCTTCACGAGTGAACCCCTGCCGTCAGTGAAGAAGATTGGCGACAGACCGTACCTCAGAAAAGTTTCTTGGCATGGGGGAAAGTCAAGAAATGTCGCACAGGGCTTTCCCAGCAGAAGCCCTAACATCAATTGTCCCGAAGAAGCTACCAGCTATCAAGCATCTATCTAGCGAGCAGCTTTGTGAGCAGTTGGACGCAGCCGCGCGAGCATGGCTCCGCCCAGCCCAGTCCAGGTCCTGTGATCACAGCATTGATCCTTTAATCTGAATGCTACTGCTCTACAAGCAGCTCGGGACTGGCAAGAGAACCACAAGTTTTGCTTTTCTCTGCCTCCTTCTCTAATCCAGCTCCTTGTAAGTCGGGCAGCAAATTCCAAGCTGAACGGACTACCAGGCCCATCATTCTATCTTAAGATAATTTCTTGTAAGTGGCACTCTGGTCGGGTGGTGCATATGTAGCACGCTCATGCGCTTCTTTGCGCGCACGTCTCTTCATGATCCAGAACAGCAAGCTGGGGCAGCAGGTGCGCAGGAGGCGGGCCAATTTCGCATCCATCGCAGCTGGAACTAGCTCAGGCTTCTTGCGAGCCACGGCTGCAAGGACCTTCGGTGCCAGGAGCTCAGGGCGCACGCCTTTGCTGGTGTGGCCTTCTGGGTATTTGACTCCCTCACCTCGCAAAGCGTTTTGGCTGTGGCCAGTGGCAATGTACCCGGGGCACACCGTTGTCACGGAAATCCCGCTCTCCTCAACTTCAGCTCGCAGGGAATCATAGAATCCAACTGCAGCATGCTTTGCAGCTGCGTAGGCAGTCCTACCAGGAAGGCCAAAAAAGCCCTGGACTGAAGAGATCTGTACCACATGACCGCTCTGTCTTTGCAACCAATCTGGTAGAAGAGCTTTGACAAGGGCCACCCCTGAAAAGAAATCGATATTCATCACACGCTTGTCAACTTCAAGCGACGTCTCCTGTCCCAAACCGCGGAAACCCACTCCACCGTTGTTAATCAGAATGTCCACTTTGCCGAATATGGCCTTAGCCGTCTCTGCTGCGGCTGCCAAAGCAGAGGTCTCTTCTAGGTCCACCACCAGCACTTCAACTTTGACACTTGGCAAGAGCTCCAGACATTTGGACTTGACCCGATCCAGTTCCTCTTTCCGTCGAGCGCTGATGAGCAAAGCTTGGGGCTGCGCCATTTGACACATCGCAAGGCACAAAGACTCCCCAAAACCACCGGAGGCCCCTGTTACCCAAACAACCTTCTCACGGAAGTAGTCTTCAATCTCGGCTGAATCGCTTTTGCCCAGCACTGCACCCATGCCTGTGCACGTTCGCTTCCTGCGCGCCCAGCTGCGGCTGTGTGCCCTTTGCAGACTGGCAGTCGCACAAAATGTGACTCCTATGTGCGGCCAGGGGTTGAACAAGCGAGGACGGCAACGGATTGGCACCGAGACGGCCCTGCCCAAGGGCCTGGTATATTCCAAGCCAGCTGAAAGAGGGACGAGGGCTTTGAGATCATTCATTTCCATCAGCTTTGGGCCACAAATGCAAGCACAGTTCATGCAAGCAATTTTGTTCTCTATGTTGCAGCAGCCTCCCCAGCCCCATTTCGATGTATGAGATATCCCTGGACCAACGAGGTCCTACATCAGCAATCTCCACGATCAGCATTTGCTTGAGGTTGGCATCTGCAAGGCGCGGCAGCTGCAGCAGGCAATGCACCTCTTCAAATGCGCAAGGAAAAGCACTTCGGCTATTAAAGCTGGTAAACCCTGCCTCCGCATGCCGCTGAGTGATGCGGAGCTTTGGCGTCAACATTTCTGTTCCCCCAAATGCTGTGTCACTCCTCACACAGAATCCCGGCTCACAGCTCAGCTTGGATGCGCCTGACTGTCAAGTGCGCTGCCAACAGCGTCCGCAATAATTTTGCTAAGGCTCTGTGCTGGCAGAGGTTCGGCTAAATGATTATAGCCCTCTGCCAAAATTTTGAAATCGCCGGCTGCACCAGTGAACAGCAAAGCTCCATGCCGCCGACCTCAAGTGTAAAGCATGCCGTACACAAGGTACCAACAGCCGGATACCATGAATCCGATGCAAGCTTCTGCTGAGTTGCGCAACACACCCGCCGTGGTGCCCTTGGAAGCAAGCCTTGCGGCTTGCTGGACCAAGTCAGCCAATTCTTGTGTAGCACCTGTTGACAATGAAGCATCCTATGCTTTGATCTACAAAAACATCCACCTCGTGCCTGTGGAGGTTGTCTCACCGTTCCAGAGGTGAAAAGTTTGCAAGTCTTCCAGAAAAGCAGGCTGGTATGCCAGCCGCAGGTCGATGCAGGTTGCTTTCAGGTGCTCCAAAAGAGGCCTGGCTCTTTCTGCGTCACCCAGCTCCAGAGAAATTGCGCTGTACAGCCCGGTGCCTTGCATCGCACGCAAGGAGTCAAATGAATTGGCGATATCCAGTCATGTGCTCATAGTTTCTACTCAGCTACTCCTCAGGTCATGTGCCTTCGACATCGTCTCTGGCACCACACCGATCCCAACAGTCTAGGGCCAACCGAAGGCGAAAGGCATCGGCATGTCCAGCCCAATCAGATTCCAGCCAATGGGGAAGGTCCCGTTTCACAAGCTGGGCCATGAGGCGCTCGTTCCTTCTCAGGAACTCAGGTCGTGCCGCATCAGACACAGCATGTGCCCAAAAGGAACCAGCACTGATGGCCTCAGCCTGCACAAGAGGGAGCCGTAACAGCGTGCTGAGGCAGGCATGGGGAAATACCAAAACATGTCCAGGATGCACAAGGATTCTTCGGTCAAAGCAAGCGGTTCGTGCCTGAATCTGATCCATGCTCGGACAATGCATCAGGAGAGCGCTCTCGACCAGATTGCGAGCAATATTGACAAACACAGCTGGTTCCATGATTAAGCCCTTCTTGCGCATGAGGCGGCTAAGAAGCCTTAGAGCATCATTTGCAAGAAGATGGTTGGACCTGGCTAGAGCCGCTTTCATCAGGCCCTTCAGTTTGATCAAGAGCTCCGGATCATCCTCGGTTCATGCCAATGAACACAAATAATCGGTTGATGACGACAAAAAGGAAGGGTTTGGATTCGACATGGCTCCTTCTGCGCAGTCTGAGGCAGACCAACTTCTGGGCCCATGCCAATGCCTTGTATGAGCTCTCGAAGGCCGTCTGTCGTGATGCGGGGGTGGCCGCTTCTCTTCCGAGCTGCCCGGCTGCAGGGCCAACCTTCCACCTCCCAAGCCTCACGGCTCAGGTCAGAGCGGCGCCAGCTGGCGTGCAGAACCGTCAGAGCCAAGAAAGTGCTACATCGCTGAAAGCGCCAGCAATCGCGACGCGCGTTTCGCCATCGACGTTCGCCTTCACCAAGTGGCGGCTTGTTCTGGAAGGAAATTTGGCTGGCAAACGGCAGCTGTTGCGGGCCTAGGCCTGGTTTGGGTGTGCGTCCAAGTCCAACATGCAGCACCATGGCGGCGCACTATGAGAAATCTGGCCATATTCCGGGTATTCGTAAGCACACCCGCAACTTTGAATCTCAGTGAAAGCTGCTCATATGAAGCTTGGTCAAAGCCTACCAAGACATGTCCACCAAACCTGTTTAGCATCCTTCTGACAAACCGAGGTTCCTACAGTAGTGAAGAAACAACCGCATGGCAGCTGATCTGCTGGACCCGAGCATTGACATCATATCAATCCAGCTGAATCATACACAAAGTGATGGAGTGCTGCACCTCACGATGGCACTGGCCCACAATTTTGTGACCTCGCCAACCCGCAACCCCTTTCGTGCTTTGGAAAGGGTGAGGCAGGGGCCTGTACCATTCTTTGAGGCCATCCTGCACGTGACCTGCACTGTGCCTGGCATCTAAATGGCGTGCAGGACTTTGCTTGGCCTGTAGCACTTCGTCCCTTGACTGCAGCGGGTTTGGAGGGGCACGGTGCTGGTGAGCTCATTTCCAGGCTCTGAAATCGCTGAGGGTTGAAAGCACCTGACAAGAGACAAGGCACGTCTAGTTGAAATTATTGACACATTGCGCATCCTTCTTCTTGCTCTGACTCTTTCTTTCTTTCTTGCTTTCTTTGACTGACTCTCTCTCGCTCTCTCCCTGACGTCTTTGTCTTCTTCTTGCGTGTCTTGTTCTTGTCTACAGGCTATGCGCTTCCTGCTAGAAGGAGCACTGGGCCCCGGAGCCCAGGCTGTTCGCACGTTCCAAGTAAGTCTACCAAGCCCGGATCCCGTACACAAAGGAGGCTAAAGATCCGCCGACCCTAGCACGGTTGGTAGGAAAATCTTCCTTCCGATGCCCTTGCCCCCTATGTGATCCAGGGCTGCAACCCCCCGCTCCATGCCCCCTTGTGGTATGGTGCTGGCATAAGGTCCCACACAGTTACTAGTCTTCTGGTAATAGACTAACGCCATGGAACGTCAGGGGTCAGATTTTCCTCCTTCCCCTGTGGTGTGAGGGCCTTTCTTTCCCGCGTGAATCTCCGCTCATTCAGCTCTTGCCCCCTCCCAATTTAAAGGGCGGTGGGTGCTCTTTCTCCCAAAGCTGTCAGCAGTCATTTTTTGCAGAAAACATTCGGGCCTTCTCCAGCCCTTGTACCTGTAGTGCGGGTATGTCTGGGTGGTTGTCTCGCTTCAGCAATCGAATCTTCATGCTTTGGGAGGCCTTCGCCTGATGGGCATTCCCCTGAAAGGCCTGCCAGGCTGCTGGGGGATTCTGGCAAAGTCTAGGAGGGGCTGTGCTTTGCCCGTCGACCGACCCCTTGCAAAGCCCTGGATCCGCGCTTTGGGGGCGGGGGATGGGGGGCCTAGACAGGCTGTGAATACCTGCTTTGGTAGACGAGCATGCCAGCCGACCTGCATGCACTTCCCAGGTGTAAACTGCACCTTGCGGTCTTTCGTACACACTTCCAGCACTTTGGAAGCTCATCCAACTATGCTATCATGGCACATCACTCCAACCTACTAGATATGTGAGCATCATCTGCACAATTTGGGCGGAACCATCGAAAGTAGCAAGAATCACCTTTACAGTGGATTCCCTCGTGATCTGGAGAATCTTCAGCACTATCAGGACTCCGTTTTGGGTCTTAGCAGGGGGGCCAGCCAGGGGACTGTCGCTATTGCGCATGATCCACGTGAGGACTGCAATATCAAGGTTCCCTGTTGCAGTCCCCGCTCCTGCTCTGTTGCATCGGCCCGTGCAGCAACGGGACGAAGAGATGTTTTCCAGGCACGTGTGGCCCACCCCTAGTGGTGTGTCCTGGTAATGCTTGCGCAACTGCTGGTAACGATTGGGTGACGACTTTTCATTCGGATCGTCAAGCAACCACCGCGGCAGAAGGGAGCAGGGAGGTTTGATGAAACCACGAATATGATGTTATTCGTATCATGCCTTTGCCAGAGTCTGGCACACTACAAAGAGAGTAGGGAGGTTCGATGGGTAGTGAATGCTAGAGAGAGCGCACTATAAGGCAATGCGACCACGAGGAATGACGACACTAGTACCACGAGCATGTCACTGCAGTGAACTCTACGGAAAGAATAGGGAGGTTCAATGCAACAACGAAGCGTGATGCTCTTTGTACCATGACCAGGCAAGGCGCGCAACACGACACAAAGTATAGGAAAGTTTCATGCCACAGCCATGCGTTATGATTTTCGTGAAATGGCCATTCAATGGTACTGGAAGGAGTTTAATGTAGCCTGAACATGGTGTCATATGGTGTTGCTCCTCCCATGGCTAAGTACGTGCAATAAGCGGAGTAGCCATAAGTAAGTCAAGTAAGCCATGAACGAACATATGAGTTCCTGAGCAGATACCCTCCCACTGTCATTATAGTAAGAATCAATATTGACCCCCCTCCTCATCCTCTAATAAAATCGCTAGCTGGCTCCTTTCCAGACCTTGTATGCGCCTTACCACTGCCAAAGCAAGATACAACTCAGGCCAGCAAGCTAGCCTTCGTGGTCAATTAACACCTGGCCTTGTCCCGAAAAGAGAACCGAAGAAAGGGTTTTCCAGTCAACTAGCCTCTGCTAGAACGCAGCTACGCTTTGAAGCTTTCCGTGACGGAAGAAGGCGCTGGAACTGCTCGGGCGCGAGCACGTGTGATTGAAATCATGCTCCCTTGTCCATTAGCGCGCGCCAACATCATGGCCAGGTTCCCCTTTGCATCACCGCTTTTTGGGCATTGATTTGTGGAGGGAAGCTGCCCCCAGGCCAACCCCTTTCGTCGGCTCAATGGCCTCATCAAGTACGGCCGTGAGGTCACCTCGTACGAGCCCCATGCAACGGTCAAACTATCAACGACAGTGCCCTGCGTCAGTGCCTGTGTGACACAAATGCAGGTGATCCTGTGCCTCACCTCTCTTTATCTCTTTTTCTTTGTTTCCTTGAAGTGTCAGCACTCAGCAGTGCTAGGGCCGGCAGTTGCCCCGCCTGTTTTCATTCCCTTGGCATCTGTGAAGCTTAGGGGCGCGTCCTCGTTGCGGCATGTTTGGCAGGGCTCCAGTCAAAGCTTACTGCATTTGACTTATGTGCAAATACTCTTCCCCTTCTTCGTCTACAGGCCACACACTCCCCTCATGGAGAGTGTCAGGGCTGAGCCCCGTAGCTTGATGGTCCGGCCCCGAGTACCAGTACAAAGGAAACAAAGCACAAAGACTGACTGCCAGAACCAATACTGATCTGTACTCTCCCCTCTCGCGTGCGATCACCCTAAATGGCCCAGCAGCCCTGCACAAGGCCTTCTGACTGCTAGCGTGTGAATTTCCGAGGCACTCAAGAAGAGCCGCAGCAACGAGCAAGGGAGGAGGCGAATGGCATGCTGCAGCAGTAGGGCCCCACAACGCAGCCAGCGAGTTGCAAGGTTCGGTGGTGGAACCAGGCCAGCTCTCTGGGCCTCTGCGCCTGGCAGGCTTTCAAATGAATTGGTTCCTGCTTCAATGGTCATGGCTCCTTCCTCTGTAGTACCAGTGGTGCTGCCCCATACTCTCGGAAGTGAGCATTTCAGATTAATTGGTGGGCACATCCTATCAGAATTGGGAGTGATAACCAGGCAAGCCCTGCAAGCACACAAGCTTGATGCCTGAGCGGCAAGAGAGCCATGCAGTGAACAGTACCTTGCAGGGAATGGTTCACTGCACAGGACTTTGATGAAGAAAGAGGTCTTTCCTACGGTGTTGGCCATCGCCGTGCCCATGCCGCCTAGCAGGTCATGCATTACAATAAGAACCAGCCGGAAAATGCGCAACAATGATAGAAAAATGAGAAAGAACACCATAATCTACAACAAAGGGCCACCCGTGGCTGGAATTCTATTACCCCAATAATGGAGAGTTGAATGGAAAATGACGTTGACACTGGGAGTAGGGAGTATATGAGACGCTATACAGGGTGCCAAGTATGTAAGCTGATATCAAAGACAAGCTGCCAGCTCAGCGCCATATCCTTAGTTGGCAAGCTGCGAGCTACAAAACATGTGGTGGCACAATTAGCGAGGAACTTACAAGCGTTTCCATATACATCCGTTTTTGTATAAGCAACGGTCACATGGTGCACAGCACAAGGCAGGGAGGACCTTCCGGTCCAAACAGCTTGACAACGGGACAAAACTGATGATGCGCTCACTGGAGTACCAACTCACTGATGCACGAAAGGCATTTGCCGCTCGCCTAGCATGGAGCTGCGCTGTACATTCATGGCTAAAAGGGCTTTAGCACACGCATTGTGTAGCAAACGCAGGAACTACTAGGTCCAAGTTTTTTATCTAACAGGATTTATAAAACTGGGGGGTACCATGTTGGAGGTCCTCATAATTATATTATACTGGGCTCCATATTGGGGTGCCCCCCCGCAATCTTCAGCTCAGGTGGGTTGTCGCAAAATTATAAGCTCATGTTGGCCCTTGACTAAAATGAAGCAGCTGACATTTCCGGGGTACCACGGAAAACCCAAATTTTTGGAACTACCCATATCCTTGAAGCAACCTCAAGGCCCTGGGGGCAATCGCAAAATTTGTATGTGATACGTGCTGGAGATGCAAAATGTGCAAACCCTAGGAGTGCACTTGACCCTTCAAGCCTCAACTGGGCTTGTAGGTCTGTAGCGTATATCAAGTGGGGAGTATGCAACTGCAGCAGAGAGCATTCGCTGTATGGCAAACCTGTATCGCGGCTTAACATCCAACGTGCAGTGAACATGCGGTATTTCACCAAAAATCAAGCGCCCCGGCCAAGATTCCAATTTGGGTTGCCAAGTAGAATTCCCACTCCCGGGCCAGTTCCAATGCCAAAGCACCAGGTAATGGTTGAAGCAGCCGTGCAGACACAGGGCGTTGCTCCAGAGCACCACCCCTAAACCAAATGCTCAAAGACACGTTCTCCTCCGCAAGCGACTCCACATGATGCCACCACATCTGGGGCAAGAAGAGAACGTCGCCCGGCTCCAAGATTGCTTCGACCCCTTGTCCATGGGCAATTTTTGAACAGGGGTATCTGGAACATGATGTGAAGGGGCCATTCTCGGAGAGCATGCCTTTCTGAAGCCGAGCGCGAGCGCACCGATCTCTGGGATGCGAGATTGGAAAGGGCATCAGTGCAGCGGCACCGACAAGAGGCGGAAAAAGTATGAAGCGCTTAGTACCTTCCATCTGCAGAAAAAGGTTTTGGCTCTGATCATAGTGGCACGATGTCACTGCCCCGGGACCACTGCAAAACAACTGCACCTTCTTCACTGAACCAAGCTCTCCGATTTGACGCAGTGGCTCGATTTGCTCCCACTTGAAATTCTTGAGATCTTGCCAAAGGAGCTCTGCCATTGTGCTTGGCACAAGATTCTCTTGGCCAGCCTCTGCTGCCAGCAGAACAGACCATAAGTAATATGGACTGGCCGCAGATGACCGCAGCCTGGAGATGAAGTCTGTAAACAGCATAGGCTCAAGTTGGCCCTCAGCCGAGGAATCAGAAAAGCAACCTTTCTTGCACTTTTCTGCGTAATCGAATGTCGAAGAGCCTGGCTTAGCTACTCGAACGCCATCCACTTGTGCAGGTCCGCACATCTTGTCAAGAGTGTCAAACGTCCAAGGCACAGGCAAATCAAGCAAATGTCGTGCAAAGTGTTTCAAGATCACGGGTTGCTGGCAAAGCGGATCCAAGAACCGGCTCAGATTCTTCAGGCCACCTTCCGCTCCGTGCCCGCAATCCACTGCCGCGCAGCTGGCACCAAGGAATACTTCTTCGACAGTCGGTGGGGGTATTTGCTTCAGCTCAGGCCCTCTGAATTCTGAAGGGCAAGGAGCCATCATTGAAGTGTTGCAAGATTGTGGAGTCGGCGGATCCAAATGCAGCAACGATGCGAGCGGGATAGCGTCCTCACATGCAGATCTTGCTGGGCTCTGCAAAATCAACCATTCTACCCCCATCATAATGGACAAGAAAACGGAACCTCTGTGTCAGGGTAGTCTGCTGGGATTCCAGTGTAGCTTTCATGTCATCCATGGGTGCTGCGCAGCGCCACTCATGATCAATAGCCCTCTGCGACCGCGTGCTTGGCCTCAGGTCACTTAGGCCTGGGGTTCGGGAGGTGGCTTGAGTTGGGGGTTTCCTAAAATTAGGGCTACCATTTTGCGGACCCCGAAGGCGCATACCGATTTTCGGTTTGCATCATTCCCGATTTGGGAAAATACCAATTCTATCCTTTGCTGTATGAGCAGCGGGCCGGCGCAGCCTATTGACAGCCAACGTTGCAATGCTGGCTTCAAAGAATTTCCGGAAAACATGCCAACAGCCGTGCAAGCTCCAATGCTCCATGTGGGGATAGCCCTGTCACTCAACCCACCCAGCTGAACTGAACCCTTCAATTCATTTCAGATCTTATGTGTACCGCTTGACGCCAACAAGTCTATGGCTATTCCAGGGAAGTTTCGCATGGGCGGCCTTTCGCAGACGCTCCAGTGCACCTCAGCAGTCGGTGCATGCACTGCAAAACAATGCAAAGAAATGGCCAAGTCCAACTACTTCCAGAAGGCTGGGGCCATCCAGAAGAGTGTTGCTGGCACGGCACCATGCTACTCCGACTGGATCATCGAATTCCTATTCCACAAGAAGCCCCAACAAGTCTGCCTGACCCCTGCTAGGCCAACAACTCCAAGCCAAGGCTTGCTACAGTGAGCTTGGTGCCACGCTCTCAAGGTCAAGCTGCTTGCGGGCCGCAGCAGCCATGGTCACCGGTCCCCAGTTGTCAAGGCATGATACTGTGTTGCAAATAGATCCAAATGGTGGATCGTCTAGTCCAAACTGACTCAATGCAGTCTGAAGGGATGCAACCATGCAGAATTCAGCGAAGGCATGCAGTCGAATGTATACTACACGTACTTGATGAAATTGCAGCTTGAGATGATCCTGCAATTGCAATTGACTACTCCCAAATGACGGCTTCAGCACCAGCTAGCAGTCATGCACTTGTAGACGTTTTGCGACAACCACCACGGGACAAGCCGCTCTTGCGTCATGGCGAAGCCTGCTGCTTCAGGGTGCGCCACAGAAGTGAGAATATTCGGAATCTGACTGCGACTGCGAAGTCAAGCTTGAAAATCTAATAGACTACATTCCAACCAGCAGATGCTTGACATCGAGCAGGACTACTCGTGCCATCGCTTAAAATCTAAAGGAGAGCTGCCCACCCCAACGTGTCCCTGGACACGCAGTGTGGACAGACTAAGACTTTGTCCGTAAGAGGGATACATTCCGATGCTTCGTGGTGCCACGGCAAAGGATGATGGCTCACCTCACTGGCCCTCCGCCAGAAACGGAAATAGCTGAGAAGCTATGCGAAACCTCCAGAACCTAAGCAGAATGCTTTGCGAGAGACATCGAAATCATGTGCAGACTGAGGTGTTGACCCAGGTGGAAGGAGACCAGCAGTTTCTAGCCTCCGACCAACCTTGGAAGAGCTGCCTTCCTCAAGCTAGATAAGCATGCAGGCTGGCAGGCTAAGGTTCCAGCAGCAAGCATCCTGATCACGCTTGGATAGAAAAGCTGTGCGAAGATTCCTGCAGAAGGCTTTGCTGGTTCAGCTTTGCACTTCAGAAGTGTTGTCAGAAGCCTGCAGCAGCTGTCCGAATTCCAACATGCCGATCTTCGCAGAGCATTGGCAGGCCCTGGTGCATACTTCGAAAAACTTGTCAAATGGTCAGGATGCTGTGGCTGCATGCCTTGTCCAGGAACTTCTGACTGTCCTCAGCTTTACAAGAACAGGGATACAACCGCTGGAACGGTTGAAATTAGGAGTCGGGCTGCGTCATCTGGAGAGGGCCACAGCCGAAACTTAGCCAGTGACCAGAGGGCCTTGAGGGGCGATTAAAACCAAACTGATGCTTCGACTTCTGCCTCGAGTTCTGCAAGAAGTCCTTGCGCCCAGCCTGTAACACCAAACGTCGGCCTTCGTAATCTGTTTCAACCTCACGACTGCAGCTGTTGATTCGGATGAGTTTCGGGTCGCTTGGGCTGCCGGCTCTAGGAGGCGGCGCTCGGGGATTCACTGCTTTTAGAAGCAGTGGAATCGTCTCAGTGGGCGCAGCATGGCTTACTGGACAAGGCGTCAGTGACCTAGTACTCCTCGGCCAAGAAACTCGAGCGTCCTGCACTAATCGCCCAGCGTAGAGTCGACACCTTTCCAAATAATCAATTGTGCTCAGAACTGGCAAAGTCAGCGAGCAATCGTACTCATCTGAACTATACTGCTGCCTGCACGGCTTTTGTTTGGCCGCCTAAGACTGGACCGCTGATTTCTTCTTGCGTTATTTCGGGTTTGCGTCGGGATTCCGATGAGCCCGTAGGAAATGAACAAGGTGCGGAATCGACCCGACTTTCAACAGGAAATGCTTTGCCAATGAGACATTTTCGACACAGGAACAAATTGTTGCATTGGACGCTCCTGCGAACATGCTTCAAAAAGCACATGTTGGCATAGCAAGATATAGATCCAATGTCTGGATTCAACCCCGACCCTGTGTTGCTGCACCTGGAAAGAACTTGGAAGAGCTTGGCGCTGTACAAGAGGTGAGGGAACATGCCACCTTCCATAGACGAGCAAATAGGCTAGGACTGCGCAAGTAAGGTTTCCCAGCCAAGGCCCATGCGAAACTCTGTGCCCTTCAAGGTGTGCTCCTCATATTGCACAAGCGGCTCGAAAGACAGCACCCTGTTCCACAGGCAGCTCAGCCAAGAACCATGATGGGAACGCAGTAGCTGCTCACAACGTCCCTCTCCATCAATATGTCAACCTCCGGGCCACACAAAGCGTAAAGCTTAACTTGACATCTCTTCAAGAGACATGACCGAGGCGGCAGTGTCACTGCACAGCATGATGAGGATGCCTGACGACATTCCTGCTCACCGTGCAGGAATATGATCACGGACCTTGGGGTGCATCTCAGCTCACCATCAGCATCTTGCTTGCATGAGGCCTGAGGCCAGGTCTCTGCAACACTCTTCCCGTGATTGCTGACGTTACCATCGGACACCAGCTGCAGCAGAACATTTGCCTTGCCCGTGATGTCACTACATGTCACTCATGAATTGCCGGTGCTGCTTCAAGAAACAGGCTTCTCGACAAGCAATGAAGCCCCAGACCACATGAAGTTCCCGCAGCTCGTTCAGCACGGTCATTGAGAGGTTGGCCTACAGCATCCAGACCCGGCTCGGCAGCACTTCTGCCAATCAAATGCATCAATACCTAGTTCTTTACAAGTCCAACACCCGTAATACACGCGGCAAGTACTGCCAAAAACCACCGTCTGCGATGCCCGCAACACAGAGTGCACTGAAACCATTAAACAAAAAACGAGGATGCGGCCAGCAGCAGAATCGTGTTTCCCCGCAGCTTGTCACCTACCTGGCGCTAATCAAAAAGAAGTCACTCATGCAATTTACTTGCTTCGGGATATTGTACGTGCCTGCTTACTCTGGAGGATCTTCAAGCATACGGGCTGCACCTGCCAATGGTTCTATGGAGGAAATCACATGCGGCCATCGCAAAAAGCAGCCTAAACCACAGCTGAGCAATAGGCACTAGTTCGAGTTAAGGAAAACTCCAGGTGGGTAGCTATCAGCTGGGCACCCTTAAAGGAGGCCTATATAGACCTCATGTAGCCCCGTTACCCTTGCACGAGCATCATATGAGCCTTATGTGGAGGTACCCACCAGGTAACTACCCACCTGATCCTTGACTAGCTACTACTTCTTCATCATTGTACTCGCTGTAGGTCTGAGTCAAGAACGAGTCGCACCAGTTTCATGTGTCCAGCTGGACCTCAAGGAGTTCTGCATGAAAACGTCACATTAACTCAGCAGCTGTAGGGATTCTCCTCGGGCCAGTGCAGGTTGCGGCGATATTAACGCACAGGAGGATGGCTGCCTCAGTTTGACTCAAATCCGCAAAGTGCGTTTTTCCGACAGCATGGCTGCAGCCTGGAGGAGCCAATCATCATGCAACATCAACGCCTGCAATGCCAGCTCTGGATGCTGACTGGTTCATGTGGTGCTGCATTGCAACAGCCGGGCCCTGTCCGAGGAAGATGAGAAAAGGTGCTGGAAGCGGTCCGCAATGCGATCAAACACCTGCCAGCAGAAACTCGCAACTTCCCAATTGCCGAGCTGCTACTATGTGCGATGTGCTTGTAGCACGATGCTATCATTTTGCTTGCGCACATCCTCCTCTAGGAGGGCATTTGCAAACTGAAATCATGTCTTTCCTGACAACCCCGTGAAATCTTGCACGCAAGTAGGCGTGTCGGAATAGAACACCGCTTTTGAGAACGTGACTCGAACTTGCTTCATGCAACTACAAACAACGTCCATGGTCATATTATGCTTGTTCTGCTGATTCGGCCACGGAGGCATGAATTCATCTGCTACTATATGCTGGTTTGCCTGATCAGCTCTTGCTCTCTCAAATGTCGTCATCTAACTAAAATGGTGAGCAATCCAGATTGCAAAGAGAAGGGGGTGTTTGCGTGGCAGCTCACAATAAGAACTAACGTATCTAGGCAGTGTGGCTTGGCGTCTGGCTCTGCACTGCAAAGCGTTCAGGCTGTAAGGCGCATGAGGCTTGGCAACTGAAGCCTTGCGCTGCTGCTTTAAAGAGAGCTATAGCTCCATCTGGCTCTGATATGTAGCTTTCTACGAACACTTCGACTAAGTTGTGGGGTTATTAATCAGAATTTTGGCACGATCTACAGGACTTCAAAAATACGTGGGCTTGGTGTTCTCTCCGGCCGCGGAAGGCGGCCCAGTAAGCTACAGTGCTGCACTCGGGCTACTATGGCAATCCTTCCTCCCTTGAAGCATGAAATTTGGGGCCTTCAGGACTTCCTTGGATCCCATGTCGGAATTGAACGCCTCAGATCTGGCAATGCAATCCCTTGCACCCTATATCGTATAGTAGTTACCATTTCATTTTCCATTATCCCTATATAGCCCCTGTATATACACCCCATATTATCCCAGGTTGTGCCCAGGCCAGGATGATCTGAACGACTGTTAGAGCGCAAGGTGACTGGACTTTTAGGGCCCTGGCAAAGTCGCCAAGAAAGTTTGTAGCAGCGGCAGCAACTGTGGGGGACGCACTCCTGCCAATGCCAAAACGATCTAATGCTGATCGGCCATTCATTCAGTTAACTGGCACTGGGCATATTCTATTATACTAAGGTATACTATACTATACTCTATTGTACCATAATATACTATGATGTATTGGGGTAATGGAAAACAAAATGGAAACTACTATTCAGAGCAGGTTGGGATAATGGAAAATAAAATGGAAACTACAATAATACCCTAAACCCTATATAATAACTTCGTTCAGAGCACGAAGCGCTGAGCTGGGTTTCTGGCTCGATGAGCCGTACGGCCTCGGGGACCTGTCGCTTCAAAATGAGGTTGCCAGCTCCTACAACCTTATGGGTACCCATTGGGGTAATATTAGGGTTTAGGGTTTAGGGCCTCCCCCATGCATAAATGGAAGCTACAGGGATTATAGGGTATATATTGGGGTTATATTGGGATAATGGAAAATACAATGAAAAACTACTATGGTACATTGGGGTTATATTGCGATAATGGAAAATAAAATGGAAACTACTGTAGTATGTGGGGGTTATATTGGGATACAGTCTCAGGATGGGACCACGCCCCGATGTAGGGCTTGACGAACAAACATTTCTCGCGCCTGCGACGGGGCGAAAGCAAAAGAGCATGAGAAAGAATGAGCTAGTTTAGGTGAACCCCCCACCCAGTAATAGTGACTATAGGGATAATAGGGATTATATTAGGGTCCTCTTATATCCTTATTATACCGCTATTACAGGGTGGGGGGTCCTCCTAAGAGCTACTGTTGATGGAGGAAATCTTGCACCACCTTAAGTCCTTAAAGTCCTAGGAATTACCGTACTTTAGGGCCCCTAGGTGGTGCAAGATTTCCTCCATCAACCGTAGTGATGGCTAGCGAAGCTTAGGCAACCCGCCTGAGGAGACAACTCCTGGGGCCGAAGTGCAAAGCTAAGTTCCTCCAAGTACCGCCTGGAAAAGCCAGCTGAAGTAACATTGTACATGCTTGGTTCCAGATTAATCACCCGAATTGTCTGGGCCCTGGACTTCTTTTGCTGAGCTGTAACTTGTGCAGCACAGACCTTGGGCAGAGCGTTTTAGTTCTGGAGGAAACGTGTGGCACGGTGTCATTGCACTTCGTGTGACCCAGGAGACATACCATGTCCACCCATGGCAGAAGATGCCTGAAAGGGCTGAAAGGCTCCAGAAGCTACAAATCCCAACAACAATAATACTAGTAGTAATAATAGTAACAATAGCCCCTGCTTTCTGTTAGCACATGGCTGCTTTGCTACGAATGCCAGGCTTCGGCTTTCTGAACAGGTGCCTGATGTCACGGGTGTCCTCCTGGTAAGTTCCCATGTTCCTGAGATTGCACCATCAGAAAGATGCACCCTCAGCACAAACGCAAGCTCACAAAGTACGCCGGGGAAAGCACGCGTGTGTATGATTGATGTTCATGAAGCCCTGCACAACTTCTTGTAGTGAAAGGCCTGGCCGCGAGTGACTCTGTCCTCTGAAGCCCTTCATCCCTGGTCCACCCAACAAAACAGCAGTTGAATGTAAGCGAAGCTGTTAGATCTTTCCCTAACACCATACTACATTCTTACATCATATTGTAACATAACATGTTGCATTGCTATGCGGCCTGGCTCCCGACACTACCGCTGCAGGCCTTGGTCTGAATCATCATCGTCGTCTAACATGGGATCCTTGCGTTGTCAATGTAAAAAGTAATCGCAGGAGCTTGCATGCCGCAAAGCGCCTCCATGCCTATGCCATCACCAAATAAATCGTCCTGACCAAAGTTTGAGAAGGCCACAGGCGTTTTGGTCAGGCTCCTCACAAAAATGTTGATTGAAAGCGCCTCGCCGCCCTCGCTCTCCTCAGACTCGGAAGTCTGAGCAGCCGCTGGCGCCGCCGGGGTGCTGGTCGCTACCTGCTATGTCTGCAATGGTGACAAGTGAAGACTTAAACGACTCAACGTCAGACCCTTGCTTTTTGTCAATTTGCGCTCTTGCTAGTGGTCAATCAGTCAGCCATGATGGTGTCCAGCGGTCTTCCAGAGTGGAGGCTCGATTCAACAAGGTCTCCAAAAAGGGCTAACAGCTTCCCCCATTCAGCTTGTGCAGCTAGTTTAAGAACCACCTTGGCTGCAGCCTGATCTGACAGGTAGGCCCAGCTAAGAAGCCTTCCCAAGACTAAGCGCTCGATCTCATCGGTCACAGCCGGGGCTGCTAGCGTTGTGGGCGACACGCCTAGAATTCCTAGGCAGTCCTGATAGGCTGCTGCTGTTCGCACAACTGTTGCACAAACGTACTGTTTGCGGCGCTGCAGCTTCCATGTAGCGTTGGCCACAGAATCTGTTGTCAGGGAAGTGTAGTGCTGCAGGTCGCTGGGGTAGTTCGTAGCATACCATTTGGCATACTTCTTCCAGGTTTCTCCACCTTCCAGTAACGCAGCTGCAAGGTCTGCCTCGGCAGCCATTGTACCGCCCAAACTCCTGAGGGAGGGAAATGTCTGGAGCAAATCATATCCAAACTTCCACTGCAGGGGCTTGCCATCTGCAGGTACCTCTGAGTAAATCACCTTGAAGCTGAGAAGCTTGCCGGTGGTCCGATTATACTGTACAATTTTGAAAGACGGGTTGTTGTAGTAGACGGGGCTGATCGAGGAAGACAAAAATATTGGACCAGCGCCAGGTGGAGGGTCCGGCAAAACTCGAATCTCATCTTTGTGAACGTGTCCGAACAACTGTGCGGCAATGGCAGGGCCAAGCTGAGGATCTTGCACTATGGCAAGGTACTTGTCTACGTAAGCCGGCCACCACAACTCCGTGAAGCCAAACGTCTCAATACCTGGCGAGATGTGCCCGATGATCCAAACAGATCGTCCTTGCTGGACGGCCTCAGCAAGCTTCGCACGGAGCCATGCAAACTGGCCAAATGGGTCATCTTCTAGCTTAGTAGCTGGAACGTGGAGCGTAGAATAAATCACTGTCGCGATGCTGAGAATGGTAAGATCTCCAGCTGTGATGTCGAAGTAGCTGCCGTACTTGTACATCTCAAGGGTTGCATCCGTCATGCAGTTGGCTTGGTTGATTTTCGTGCCTACCCTCCAAAACCATGGGTTGACAGGGCTCGCCGTGGTTATGTTTTCGCAGTAATCACAGGGGCTGTCGTCATTTCCAAGGGTTCCGAAGACTGCCGGGAGGTCCGGGAAAAAGTCTCTTGCTAGAATGGACACATTCTTCACAATGTCTGACGCATTGTCTGCAGAGTCGCGCATCCTCCCTGGGCCGTGTCTTGCAAAATCACCCGTGAACAACATGAAGCTAGCTTTCCCTGCCACTTTTTCAAGCCAGGCTGCAGCTCCTTCCAGAATGGAGTAAAGCAAAGAAGGCGGAGGATCGCAGCCCATGCTGCCAAAAGGATACTGCTGGAGTTCAACCAACGCCTTCTTCTTGCACTGACGATCTGCACTGAGGTAATATGGATCAATATGTGCATCGGTCAGCCACAGGAATGAAGCGACCTCTGAGTTCGAGCTGCTGGCTTGCAGTGCCAAATCGCGTTGAATCATGTGCACATATGTCTCCGCATCTTCCATGTTGCAATCATCAGGTCGCTGGCAGAACCCATCACTTGCGCCGAGCCCATCAACTGCAGAGGGGGAAGTCGGCCATGCTAGGTAAAACGCTGAGAGGAATCGTGACATGAAAGTTAGAGCTTGGGCCCAGGGGCTGACCATGAGATCTTTTGAACGTCTCGACTCTGAGCCTAACTGAGGCCACGGCCGATGGGTATCCTTCTGCTGGATCCATGGCAACGACGCCGCACTGGCAGAGGCTCTAGGCAAGATCGTCCCTTGGTGTCTGGCTGCTGATGACGAGTGTTTAAGTCTGGGCTGCGAGTCAGTGAGTTAGATATCCATCTTACCTAAAGCGGCAGAGACTGCATGCTCACTGCCTTCACAGCTTGACATTGTCATGCTCCAGCACTGTGCAACTTTGCCCCGTCCGGGTCGTGCAATACTCCTTTCTAGCTTCGCCCAGCAAGGTTCTCAGCAGCACTTCCTTTTTGAGCTCCAGCTGCCTTCAAACGACTGGACTCTGAAAAGATACAGATGTTCACGGCTCGTGATCTTCAGAGTTAACGCGCTCCAGCGACTCACGTGCCATCGAGGCAAACTCCTCGAAGCTTACCTCAGCATAGCACCTATCTGACCCCAGGTCTGAAACTCAGCATGTCAAAAGTGTAGCTATTACAAATGCGTTTGCTCAACCAAGGCCCTTCACCACTCAGCTTTTGCTTTTGTGTTTGGGCGCAGCAAAACACGAAAACTTGCGGACACAAGCCACCCTTAAACTGACACCAGCGTTGGCTTGCAAGCTTGAACAAATGATGACTTATGTGCCTTCTGTTCAGTTTTGGAACTGGTTGTGGGGTAAAATCGCTTCATCAAGTTTGGCATTGAACAGGAAGTCGAACGAGGCCCTGGCGCAGTTCCTGTCGTGTATGTAGACTATCAAATCAAAAAGACATGGCATCTTTTGCCCTATGCCAAAGAAGTACCGAACGAAAAAGGAAGAAGCTGCCATTCGTATAAGTAATTCCCGGGCCTCACCTTGCTTTTTCAACCCAGACTCTGTTAGCTCATGCTTTCTTCAAAGCGAGGTTGTCAACCCCAAATTTATTTGGAGCCCTGGGTCGCAGGTTAGCTATCCTGCTGTATTGAAGGTGACCAGGCCAAAAGCAGAACTTTGAAGTTCCAACTCCCGGTGCAAATGCCGATTATACTATAGTAGTTTCCATTTTATTTTCCATTATCCCAATATAACCCCAACAGAACCCTAATATATACCCTATTATACTATAGTAGTTTCCACGGAGTCAAGTCACCCAGGACCCAGCCCCCAAATCCTTTACCATGTCTGTTTGCAGATGGCCCCCCTCTGCGTTGACCTCGATGCCACCTGGAGTGCCACCAAAGAAATGCACCTTCTTCATGTCGGACCCCAGAATCATGCAATTTAGCCGCTGGTCACGCTCTGTACTGCTACAATCTGGCAGGTGGATATGAGCACTGAGGTCCAAAGGCGAGATCCACAGCGTGATGGCTACCTTTGACACTTCAGGCAAGGCCAGGGGTGCTTCAAACGCTGCCCTCGAGCGTCTTGAGGGAAAATCGCATGCTGCACACAGCTCCTCACAGCTTAAGTCCACGCTCAGATGAACCGCATCTCCGTGCCCAAAAAACTCCGTGCCCGCACGGGAAAAACAGCGGGACGCATCCAACCAAAAACAAGAACAGCTGTCGAGAAAAGATCTCCATAAGCCAAAGTCTGGGATGCCGTGCCCATGCCCATCATCTGTCAATAGGGCTGGTAGCAGCAGAAGCTTTCCCAAAGTCAGGGCCTCTAGAAGTGGAGCCCGGGCTGCAGATTTGACCTCGAAAATGCCTGCCATTGACAGCTCTGCATCGAAGACCTCGTTCTGCTGTAGCATCCTGTGAAACCCTGACCGTAGTCTGGTGCAGACAAGCCTCGGTAAAGCTTCGTTTCACGCTTACTCACAACACTGACGCTGTGACCCTTTTGTATGTGCCTTCCCGTAAAGTCGATGCCCGAGCAGACATGCGAAAAGATTGCATCTGGGTCCTTCATGGCAAAAACAGCTAAAAAATGAGCAACAACTTTGCAGTCCTTCTTTACTGCCATCACCGCAGGCTGGCCTGTTGCTAATTGCTCGTTCTACACTACTACTACTGCTCCGACTGCTCCAGGCCCAGGGTCCAAATCCGGGATGCATCAGTGTAAAACTACTCCAACAAAAACAACCCTTGCCAAACAGAAAAAAACACATCTTTGATCTTTCTAGGGGTTACTACTGATCGCGGAAGTTCTTGATAGCACCTCGCCGTCCGCTCCCAATAAATTCCCAATACTTTCACATGATGGTGGCCGTGCTGCTCACTAAGTGCCAGGTCCACACTGAGGGCCAGGACTGTGGATATACATCGGCAGGTTTGCTTCAAGTTGTCCATCTGCCGAAGTGATGAGCACGGAGCTTGGACAACATTTCCGCTGTGCACGCCTGGATTGTATGTCTCACAAGAACAGCAGACCACAACAGAAAGCAGATCACAAGTCACCCAGCACATATGATTGCACTCGCCTTCGAGAAGCATCTTCCAAATCTCCAAACGCCTCCACATCTGGTCCCTCGGCTTCAGGGCTGATGTTAAGCACAACCCCCTGATTCGGAATGCAAGAGATTAACCCCCCCACCCCCCTCCCCATCCCCACCCCCTGGCTTCGAATGTAAATTTCTGAATCGTGGATTTTAGTTTCTGAATCGATGTATTTTCAGTTTCTGAATCGGTTGATTTTTAGTTTCTGAGTCGGTGGATTTTCAGTTTCTGAAGCGGGGATTGTTTAGTTTCTGCAGCTGGGATTTTAGTTTCTGAATCGGGTTTTATTCGTAAAAGCTGTCCTTTGGAGGCTATCTGCTGACCGAAGCTTCTCTGGCGGCAAAGAGCAGCCCAGCAAAACATCATGTCCCGCTCGTGCTTTGCGAACGGCTGACCAAAGATGCACTATTGATCGAAGATCTAGGAAGCTCCTGAGCTGCACACAGACTGAGCAGGTTGATACCCGCGTGACCTTTCGGTTTTCAATTTCCTCCGGATTGCCGCTGGGCGACAGCAACAGCCTGCTCTCAGTCCTGCAGGGCCACATTTTGACCTTGCAGATCAGTAGGCGGCGCTGTTAACATTCCTACCTTGCAGCAGAGCCGAGCAGCTGAGGCGCATAAATGGCAAGTGTCAGTGCAGTTAGGAGATGTCATGAGCGATTGTTCTTCAATTTCGCAGCGCTTTTGAACATGAGCGATGCGCTTCGGCACTGATCATGGAAGCCTATCCAGCCGTTGCCGCCTCAGGCGCTGAGATCGAAGTCATCTTCGGGCGGCAGCACTACCTCCAGTGAATATCGGCTCCGGTATGCTTCGATCTTTCTTCTCTGACATGCTCTGCTATGATGCAGGTGGTGGCCCACGGCCTTGGACAAGCTGGTCTTCAGTTGGAGCAAGCTGTGCCTGAGCGAGGCTGCATTGTGGGCATCCAAGAAAAGCTTCGGAACCAAGACCAAGGCTGTTTTGCTCCCGTCTTCCTCGCTCCCGATGTTGTCCGCGCAGGTCTGAGATCACGCGAGCTCTCACCGACTGCCCATGTGGCTCTCACGGATGTTCCGCATGGCTGAAATGCACCGACTTGCCTCTGCGAACGGACCTCACGGCCTTGGTCAGAAGACTTTAGACAACAAAACTGGAGTGCAGGGTGCTCGCATATGATTTCAAGGTTGAGACCTTGATTTGCTCAAGGCACAGACATTCGGCACTGCTGCATTGCTCAGAGCTTGCGTCAATGGCCTTCCCACGTTCTGCAGTCTTTCCAATCAATCAGCGGGAAACATTGACTCATTAGGCGACGCCTCTGTCAAAGCAAGCAGCATGCAAAACCTGATGCTTTGTGGGCCGTAAAGCTCAAACTTACGTATGCTGATAAATTCTGCTCCCCATGCCACTAAGTCTGAGAATGGGTCGTAATCAGGCGTCTGAAGCTCCACATAGCGGGACTCGTAAATCTCGGCACATGCGTTCAGGTTCACACAGCCGTCAGCAACTTACCGAAATGCCATCGAATACCAGGTCGCAAGCCCAAGTCAGGGGCGGTATGACGAAGGCGTGGAACGTGGTCCTTTGGGATCACAAGTTTGCAAGGGCCCCGCCAGTGATTCAAAGCCCAGATCTACACAACAAAGCATGATCTGCCGACAGAGTCACCCGGCAGCAGAAATGGCCTGGGAATGATTCTTTGGGACATCAGTTGAGCCAAAAGGCTGTTTTTTGCTAAGGGCTGATTCAGAGATTGGCGCAGCATGGCATGCACACATCTTGCATTCATGCTCACTGGAGGCTTCTCTTTTTCTGAAAAACTGTCGAAGCATGCAAGCAGAGCCCCAGAAAGCAGATTTCAACCAGCCCGCCCCTGTGAGAAGCACGGCTTCATACAAGAGTCAGGGGCGTCACAGTACTGCAAAGGGCCTGCAATGCTGATCATCAGCTTCAGCTGTGATCTATGAGGATCAGCTCATTATGTACACTCCTGGCCGGTTTCTCACCTCTGGAGGAGCCAGGCAGAAGTATCGACTCTCGAACTCCGGGTGCTCGTCGTAAGGATTGGACAATAACTTGAGCAAATCTTGGGCAAGTTGGAAGCTACCACTTTCAGCAGCCTCGTATGCCTCTACAAGCATCCAATTTCGAGGAATGTATTTTGGAGACACTTGCCGCATACGACTTGCGACCTCATCTGGGTCATCGCCCTCCTCTCTCAAGCGCGTGAGCCACTCCCAAACCCATTCAGACCAGGCTCTTTCGAGATCTGGGCTCAGGCTTTCATAAAAACATTTCTTTAGAGGCTCTGTGAGGCTACCACTTTCCATCAGCTCCTCCCAATGTTGCGCTACAGAGGCTAGTGAGCGCCATGTCAGGGTCCAATCTGCGCCCGACTGCTCCATGAGCAAGAGAAGACCATCGCATAATTGAGCTCCGCTTTCATCCCAGAAAGACAGGCCAAGCTTCTGCATCCGCACATCCGCAAAGGCCTCGAGAAAACTAGTGAAGCCCGCGGGACTGGAGGCCTATGAAGCCAACCCGTTTCTTGTAAAAAGTGTGAGGAACCCTGTTGTTCGCACCCAGAAAGCTGCTACAGTAGGCTACAAGCCTACAGTACATAATAAGCGGCACGTCCCGCAGCCCTTTTGCGGGAAGCAAACTTCCCTGCAGCACACGTGGATGTCTGCCCAGGCAACCAAATGCATTTGGGCTATGAAAGAGGCCACAGGGATAAGTCTATTTCAGCACCGGCACCTGCCCCCATTCCATTTTGTCCCCTTTGCACTACTCATGCAAGATGCGCAGGAAAAGCAACAACAATGAGAGAAAGCTCTTTGCAGGCTCTCACGGCGAGGAGAGTTTTGCAGGAAGGCAGGCGTTTGGACGTTGTAGGTCTCAATGCCCAGAGATTTGAAGCCGTAACGCATGTCAGATCTGGTGTCTCCAGCATGGGAATAACGTCAAGTCAGAATAGTGCTGCCGGGGTTCGGCCTGTGGTATTTGACTTGTTGCAACAATGAGCGAAGTTATACACATGACTGTTCTACTTAGATTTTTCAGTTGGAGGATATACGTTACAAAATGTTGAAGAAAGGATTTGGCTCACACATTCGCGCGGATTGACAAATCGGTTACAGCCGAGCGAGTCAGGTCCAAAGGTATGCCTGGATACCGGATCCTGGCACGATCAGGCACTAAAGGAGGCGGTCGACATGGGGCGTTGGATGATGCAGGCAGCTTACAAGACAATACAGTGCTAGTCCCTGATGACGATTTCTGACCTGTGAGATGTCCATTCTCGTATGAGTCTCCTCCCCATTCAGCTATGAGGCGGCGCAAGACGTGACTTGCACAGGTGGATTCGCTGAATTGTGGTCGCTGATATCAATGCTGCTCGCGATTTGGCATAGCTCAGCCCTCATTCTGACTTGCACTGGCTTGGGCCGTACAAGTGGCGGAAAAGCTCCGCCATCGCACCCTGCATACATCGCCCACTAGCGGTTTAGCCCGATAATCGCAGGAGCATCAACGAAGCGCTGCCACGCCACGAAAGCGACACGCGCGAAACGCAACAGGGAATCTGTGGGAGGCAAGGGTTTGGAAGAAAGGGTCGGCGTAGGGCAAATCAAACATTACGATTGGTTTGAACATAAAGGTTCTCATGCAGGTTCGGCAGAGCATGTTGAACCCCAGGCCCGAACCCTTAACCCAGCAAACCCCTAAACCACAACCCAAGAGTTGCATTGCCTCGGCCAGCAGCGATGGAAATGCTCGCACCGCATTTTGTGCCTCTTTGCGGCCATCCGAGTCCAGCAGACACTCGATGGATCGAACAGCGCTAGTGAAGTTATGATAAGCAGCTTTCGGCTGGCTTCCGAAACTAAACTTGTCAATGCCACCTGTCCAGCTACACCAATGTGGATTGTAGCTTTCCATGAAGCCAAAAGGACCGTAGTCCAATGTCCTTCCTCCCAGGAGGCAGTTGTCGGATTGGAAGTTTCCTTGACAGAATCCTACCCTCCACCATTCTGCCGTCAACTGCGCCATCCGGCGCGCCATTGGCAACAGCATTTTCCTCAGAGCTGTTTGCAAGTTTCCGCCCACACCATCTTCCAAGCATTCCGGATACTCTCGCAAGAGAAGATGGTGGACAATCTGCTCCAGCTCCTGCCGCTCAGGTGACTCACCCCAATTGTCCCTCGCGCGGCGGCCAAAGAGCTCCAAATGTCCGACCCGAAGGAATGACGTGGAGACGCGGCAGGTGATTGCACAAGGCTCATACACGCGCTCACCTAGCCATTCACGCAAAGCACTCTCTGACTCAGACATGACCAGGGAAAGGCTGCGTGTCGTTGGTACGTTCAGGTGATGCATAGCCTCTGATGCAAGGAACTCGCGCAAGCTGGATCTTATCACAGCTCTGCCATCCGCTCCCCGACAGAAAGGGGTGCACCCAGCGCCTTTCAGTTGCAGCTCCCACCGCTTTCCATCTCTAACCACCTCTCCCACCGAAATGGCCCGGCCATCACCATACATGTTGCCAGTTGATATCTCATTCCCAGCCACAGACAAAGTATACGGTGTGCACCAGCTTCTCATTTTCGGCAACTTTTCCATACGACCAGACATGTACTGCAGGAACTCGTCCGACTGGCAGTCTGCCTCCGAGAGGCCTAAATCACTTGCAACATCCGCGCTGTATGCCACCAGGGATGGATTTAGCAAAGGTGTTGGCTTGACCTGGACGTAGTGACCTCAAACGCAGGCCGGCAGCTGCGCTTATGCACGGACGCCAACTAGTTGCAACAGACTGACGGATGATGCTCCAAACATGACCTAAAATACTGATAATGGTCAACAGAGCGTAACAGAGCAAGCAAACACACAACAAATCGACGCCAATAGCAAAGTCGGCGGCCTGCCGACACCAAGCGCTTCTCGCGGTTGGGCTCGTGGAGCTCTTGCTCAGGATCTGGGGTCAGCTCCCGCATCCATGAATGGTCTGCGCAGTCCTGCAGCTCTGACAATCCTTGAGGAATTGCACGCCAACCACGAGGACGCGCATGCCCATGTCTACGATGTGGCCGCCCTCGCGGCGCATGGCTACAACTGCAGCTCGCACCATAAAGCCCTCCAAAAGTCAAACTGACGATGACACCCACTCTGCTTGGATGGGCGGGGCAGAGTGCAACATGCGGCTGACTTGGCTGAAGGTGTGGATGGCTTTGCCACACCCAGGCCTGCATGGCGCAAACTATCTTTTGTGTTCAGGAACTGACCTGCCAGTCATGGATGGATTTTCGCTTTTGCCATGCCTTAATCATAGCAAGTCGTGACTCGCGTGACTACCACTCGACTAATTACCTTTTCTAATTGCGACATCTCGCCATCAGCCAGAAGAAGTGAGCGGCTTCAAATGGCGGTGCGCAACGGGGCATTGTAGGACTTAGCTGCACAGCATCATGAACTGCAACCTTTCTCGCCTTTTTCATCATGAAGCAGCAGGTCCTCAAGCTCTTCTTCGAGACCTGAGATCGCACATGCTTGGGCCAGGGCACGCACCAGCCCTGACAGGAAGTGCCCAAACATGTGAATAATAATGATAATGATAATACAAATATAATAATACTAACAGTAACAATAACAAAAAATCTAATATAATACTAGTAATAATTGGCTCCATTTCAGCCCAGGGTCCTGCGTCCCCGACTAGGCATAGAGGGCGCGGGTTCCTCCATGGGCTCCATCCGCCCAAGATCTTCCAACGATTCATCGGCTGACTGAAGACCGCTGTCAGCGACCACGTCGCCTTCTTGCTCAGCTTCCTCGTCCGCGTCCTTAGAGCATATGGGTGGATAGTATATTGTCGCACATGGTGTGAGGAGCTGCTTAATAAAGATGTTTAAAGGATCTGCCCTGCCCATGTCTTATCCACAGCGAGATGAGACGTTTGAACAATGTTTTCGTTACAGCCAAGCACTTGGACAGCATTTCTAGGTAGCCTTCTCCACTGTTATCCAAAGTTGTCCCTTGAATCACAAGCTGTCCTCAGCACATACCGGCATCTGTCCCAGATAAATGGCCGCAACACTGAAATCTTAATTCAAGCTTTGGAGTCCTCCACCGTGGAGGTCTCTCCTTTGGAATCCTCTTCAATGCGAGCCTGGCCCAGTGGAATCTTTGTGGAGATTTGCAGGTGCCACCAAATGTGTGCCTGTGCCAGGGCTTCGATGATGTGAGGATCTTCCTCCCCGCGCCATGGACTCTGCAAGGCCGCGCGTCGCTCAGCGCGCCTGGCTCTGGTCATAAACAGTCGGTCATGCACGTTTGTTGGAAATGGCCTCAACCATCCAGACCATCCAAGAGCGCGGAAGGTCGAAGACATGTGCGATGGTAATGGCCTGCGCGTGCTCTGACACAGCAGCAAGCTCAGAGCACAGACCATTGAGCAGCACTAAGTGCTCCACGCTGTGATGGTGACTTCCTTTCCGGCGAACGTCTTGATGGTAAGCTGGCGACTATGCAGATGCAAGCCTTGCAGCAGGCAGGACTTCATCTGCAGAGCACTTGCTAGCGAACATATGGACAATGCAACCTTCCCATAGGCAGTTTCCTTGTCACAAGCAGCTATTACACCTCCAGAGGTCTTCCCTAAGTTGTGACTTGAAAGACCCAAGCCGACCCCGTTCAAGAGACCCCGCAGCGAGCCTTGGATTTGGTAAGGCTTCAAACTAGTCCTCCTACTCCTAGCTGTGTGTGAGCTTTCTGGTGAACAGTTTCTGGTACTCCTCAGGGCAACTTCATCAAATGTAGGAGAGGGGTCCTTGAAGCTTCTTGGCTTCTGATTTGTGCTGAGAGTCGGGGCTGAGCACCTACCAGATCAGCACGTTCACGCCTTGCTTCCGTGGAGTGATACCTGGGCCGCAGATAAGATCAAAGAGGCCCAGGCAGCTCCAAGCCATTTAGGGGTACCTACTATAATGGAGAATCAAATGGAAAAGAAAATGGAAAATGAAATGGAAACTGGCTTTATATACGGGATTATGGGGATTTGGGGTTTCCCAAAATTGGGGGGGTGCCATATTGGGGTCCCAATAATAAGGACTATAGTATATTGGGGTCTATTTTGGGGTCCCCCTATTTTGGGAAACTACCATATCACATTTTGCTACTTGAGATTGCTTGAAGTCTGACTGGATGTTGGCCAGCACATAAGCATAGGCCTAAAATTCATCTCTGTCCACTTGACGCTGCCATGAACAGTTGTCACAAGCGGCGTCATGTGATTTGTTCAGCAGTGTGGGGCATATCTCCGTCTAGAGCAAGAAGTAATTTGGGTCAAGTTCGTGCTGCCTGATTGCTGCCTACTTTAAACCGATCCAGAATCCAGAATTTCATCTAAGAGTTAGATGAGCTATAGTCTTAACTCCAAGAATCCCCCTTAATAACCCCTATAACACTGCCCTAAACAATCTCTATAAGAACCTCTTTAAGGAGTTTAGACTTTAGCTCAGATGATACTCCATTTCAACAATGTGTCACTCCCCTGACGCTTTAGAGGTGCTGTGCACGTGACTATGAGTTGCATCTGCCTTACGGCTGCCCCTCCTGCTGCTCTATGAGCTGCTGTTAAAGGTACGCCACGGTCTCTCCTGAGGATGAGTCCCCTGCGAACTTCCGGTGGGGCTTCTGTCCGTTCATGACGCAACCCAACGTAAAAAGTGCTGAGGCAGCAGAGGCGCCTCACTTTGAAGTCGGACACGGTAGAAACTTCATTGGACAGCTGGTAATAAACAGGATCACCCACAACGGGCGCGCGTAGTCCGAAGGCACAGTGTGCACGGGTCTGATGGTACCTTCCACTATATGGGTTCATGGATAGGAGCGTGAAGCCTCCGGCCAAAGGAGAATACAAGATGGAGGAGTACTCTGTCATGGCTGGCAGGCCGCCGTCATCTTCTCGGGCAGGTTTCGCAACCAGCCCTTTTCCCATCCTCTCGGACATGAGAGGCATGGAGACTTGTCCAGACTTGGGTGTTCGTCCACAGACAACTGTCCACAGTTCTCGCTGCCAGAAGGAGCGCTGCGCGACCATGTCCTTGGCGAAGGATGCAGCCGCCTTGTGCCTTGCAAGCAGAAGGACGCCGCTGATCTCGGTGCTCAGTCGATGAACGAGCCGAGGTGGCTCCTTTGAGCACAGCTATGACGGGCATTCAATGTTAGGGGGGGTGGGGGGTACCCTAACTAGTAGCTTTCATTTTATCATCTTATTTTCTGTTATCCCAATATGACCCCTATATCAGATATAACCCCAATGGGTTTAATATTCCTTGCAGACTGCCGCAGCCATGGCCTGTCCTCCATTCCAAATTGAAGGCTAGGTAGCAATCGCAGCAGGTGCATTCCTCCAACGTGCCTTCCAGGAGTGACTGACCACCCCACAGGCTTATCGAGGGCCAGGAAGTCTGTATCCTTGTAGATGATTCCTTCTTGGAGCAGCTTCGCGTTGTAACAAACAAATCTCACTCAGCTTGAAGGAAGCGGAAACTTATGGCCTAATGCCAGCAAGTTTCGCCTGAGCAGCCACCCTGGGGTTTCCTCTTCGCGCGGCAGCGGCACGCGTTTCTTCGGAACAGGGCTCATGACCTTCGGAAAGTAGACCAGGTCCTTGATTGGCAAACAACCTTTAGCGCGCTCCAATTGTGGGCTCAATCTGCTCTAGGTCATGAGGTCAACCATGATCATGCGATGTGTCAAGGCACATTTGCTTGCAACTTCGTGCCCCCTTGACAAGATGGACGAAATCGAGGAATCATGACACTTCCGCGATGCTGCTGAGCAGGGCAGTTGGGGCTCATGACCTTGATCACAACTCAAAGCTACCTTCCCTGTGAACTAAGCTGGCACATGACAGGCCAAGATGCCCATACCTGCTTCGCACTTATGAGCTTCTGAGTGGCGTTCCAACTGGAACCTCGGATGAAATCTGCACTTGGTTTCCTTTACTAGTCCCGCATCGCAGAGATTTTCAAAGTCTCCGGCAGACGTTCTTCAACAGCCAACGATCCAGCCGCACGGGCTCGGCATCCAAAGGAACACGATGGCATGCGAACGGGCCGAGGTCGAAGGGGCGCTCGCCTCAGCTCAAGGCTGCTGTGGCTTCTGTAAGGTCTTGCAAGAGCACACAGATGCATCAAAAAGACCTGAACCATCCTGAATCTTTAGCCAAAGCACCTGGAATGTGAGTCGGATTCTCAAGCTGCAGTCGGGATGTGGTGGATTGATATCGCTGCCACTTGCCAGGAGCGAACCACCTCCTCCAAGCTGTCGTTCCCATCCCTCATCCACAAGCATCACAGCCACTCTAGGGTCCTGCACACCTTCAGGAAGTTTAGAAGTTTGTTTGGTCTCGGTCAAGGTAAACTAGGCTGCTCGATGGTCTCGGGAAACGAAAGAAGCTTGGTTGTGAAACAAGTTGTAGACAGATTGTAGCGAGAAAGTCAGACATGCTAACATAACATGAACCCATGCTGAAGCCAAAAGCAAAAATGACGCTGCAAGCAAACGTCCCACGGAAGGGTCTATGAGGTCTGCTGGCCTTTTTTGAACCTGTGCCTGGCTGGACGCCTGGATTTGCAATTGCCTTTTCTCACAGACGGAGCTCAGTTTCGTCAAGTAGCTTTGGCGTTTCTGACGTTCACGTTCTTGCGCTCTTGGAGCGGTTGACGCTCGCCGCCTCTGGAAGTTGGCCATGGACAAGTCGCCTAAGGCTGTCTCATCGACATCCAGCTCTTCAAGAAGTCTCTTCATCGGCCGACGGCCAAGCAATTTCTCAACGGCCTTGATAGTGACGCGTGTCGGCTGAACACCTGATGCAATCATTTCTCGGAAGACCTTCTCCAAATCTGGATGGCATGGCTCAGCAGCCAGAGCTTGCAGCAGCTGCGTGTACTCCACCACTGAAGGCTGAAGTTTGCCGTCTCGCATTACTCTGAACCTTAGGGCCATCAGTGAGCTTTCTGGTGGAGCCTTCCTCGAAGACCAGATTATGTGAAGTGCAGCGGAGCAACAGCAGCCTGCTCTGCACAAGTTCAGCATCAGTACACAATAACATCAAGGCCCTCACGCAGGTGAAAGAATCAAGGATTGCCATTTGTTGGATTACCCCGTAGAAGCCGAACGGGGCTCAAACAACAATGGAAGCTACAAAATCAAAATCCAGACTTCAAACCATCACATAGGGCTTAGAAACCTCAAATTGCTACTTTCATCCACTTACGCATGCCTAGGAATCGCAAAGCTGGTGTTTGAAAGGTCAAACAACCCTTCAAAAAAAGTCCTGACATTCAACCTCTCGCATCTCACATCTTGGGTTGAATTTGCTGTGCTAGAGATAAACAGTTTCCTCAGCTACACCTGGGTTGGAGTGCTGAAGTTTAACGCTGTTCAGGCTTTGATGCGCGACAATATCATCGTCTACCTTTTCTACATGATATCCTGGAACCGAACCAGAGGAGGATGACAGAGTGGAAAACACCCAACATGGAAGCGGGAGACGGGCCAATCGCACGCTCACGATGCGAACGAAGAGCAGTGGCGGAACACGAGGAGGAATTGGAAAATGAGGAGCTGCTGGCAGCGGATCACTTCGACTGGCTGCAGGGTCAAAAAGATATGCTGTAGTTACTGTAGTTTGAGAGGCCTAACACTGTAAATGTCACACGATTCAGAGAACCGCAACAACGTAATTAAGGATCAATAGAATTAAACACTGCAGTTAGATAGCCTCATATGCTGTAAATGGCACGATCCGGTGGTGTTCAGATGCCCAGTGCGAAAGACAAAAAAAAGCAGCACTATTCGGAGATGCTCGAGATACTGCAAACAACACGGTTCGGAGGTGTATCAAATACTGCAAGGCTGAAAGCAATGTCCATGACACAACGTGCACCGTGCTTAGGTTCTAGAAATAGCAGGGATGGGTTGGGAGGGGGAGGTTTTTATTTGCAACATATGGAATAAGCTGAGGACATGTTATGCATTTTCGAGTTGACTTGATGGCATCTGCCAGGCATTGTGTTTGCCTTTGAACATTGCGCTGAGGTTTGGGGCAGACGACCCCCCATTTGCAAAACATGGATGAAGATGAAACCTGGTAGCTTCTTGCTATGTTTTGATGCAATCTTCAGGAACTGTGTGCTGTAGGAACTGTGTGCGTTTGGCGCCAGCAAGGGGTTTGGGGGGAAGCGAACTCCGTACATAAAGGCGCTGAGCTAACCTGACGCTATGCCCGAGTCTTCTAAAAAAAGAAAGGCCAAGATTGCGCGAGATGCCATTCCAAGGCTTTATGTTGGCGCTGCGCCGCAGGCAGCTGAAGGCAAGATCGCAAGAGCTGACCAAATGTGACGAGGTCTGGTTGAACCTTCGCAGTGGCTTAGATCTGGTCACCCACACACGAAGCAGTTCTGGCAGTGCTCCTTCTGCTGGTTCATGAGAATGAAGTGCCGCTCTGCGCCTGCACTTTGAGCTGGAGCAAACAACGGACCTATATGACCACTGGCATGTGTCCTTGAGCATCACCTGCAACCACGCAGGCTTTGATGACGGCTGCGAAAGTGAAGCAGTCCGGCTGCATGTCCAGACTCCTGCCATGATGAAGCTAGCGATAAGCACGACGTGAAAAGCACGTGCAGTGCCATCATGCTGCAAGCCATGTCTCTCAGCTTCGGCTACTAGATTCCGTTGCGTGTAATTTGAATCTTGACATCATCAGTGAATTCAATAGATCTACATCTGATTTTGCAAGAAATGTGCCTTGGGGCCTAGCCCATCCTGGCCTGTCCCAATGTATTCCTTTCTGAGCCACCAAAACATTATCCAATGATCTCTCTCAACTCTCTGCAAACTGAAGATGCAGTGAATTCTGTGCCTCCCTAATCCTTAATTAACCTTAAACCACTATGACGGCTCAGCTTCCCGCATGGCCTGATCTGTGCTAGGCATTCCTCTGCGCCCGAGACATCACCCATATCCTGGGTTGCTGCTTTGATGAACTTAAACTAAGTTACCAACCATAATGCTATATCTAGCACTTAATGTGGCTCCCCAGCATCGTAGCTTAAACTAAATTCCTTTACAGCAAACCAGTATCAGCAGCTGCGTCCGCCAGGATGTTCATGACGCTGACATCTCCATTGGGCTGTAAGTGGTGCAACCACTTTTGCGTGGCACACCTGGATCTGGCTGCCGCTCGGAGCAGCAAAGCGTAGGTTGCCTCAGAAGCTCTGCTTTGACTGCCCCTTCCAAGGGAAATCAAGCAGTCTGCCACACGCCTGCTAAAAAGGAGAGTGGTCAGGGATCCAGTTCATCATAACTCTTTGAAACAAAGTGCCGCATCTGGCTGAAAGTTGTTGGCAGCCATCGCTTTCAGCGACTTCTCTGCAGAAGGCAGGTCTCCGCAGTTGACGCTGGCAGCTACAAGCGTTTTCCAGGAGACGGCCGAAGGTCGCCATCCCTGAAGGGCATGGAGTACCAACACAACGTTGATGCTTCAGGACTGCCTGACCTTGCCCTCATCTTCTCCCCACTTGCCTCGGCCACAAGCTCGCCGAACCAGCGCTCTGCGGCCAGCGACTCCTGGTGCTTGGCAGCCACATCCATCAGTGCCTGCAAGGCAGGCATTGGATGGGAACGCTTGGCCCTAATGGCAGTCCTGGCATGGTGCAGGCAGGATGCGTTGTACGTTGCTTCGTTCGGCTTGATGCACGCAGACTTCATGATTTGCAGCCACTCTCCAGCTGCGGAAATTCCAGACCCTGCCCGTGCTCCAGCACTAATGAGAGTGTTGAAGGTATAAGAATCTGGCTGGACGGATGCCGCCTCCATCCGATGATAGAGTGCCCTCGGACGCAGAACTTACACATGTGCTTATTCAAGCGATCATCACATGTAGAACAATAATTGACCGTGATCGCAGTCAGAGCCCTGAAAGTCAAGCTGCACGGAGATGTCTAGGGCACCTTTCTTGGCTGCTGCGCTGAGCACTGCGTTGAAGGATATAACATTGGGTTGTAGATTCTCCTTCTCCAGATGGTCAAACCAGGCCACCGCTGAGTTGACATCATGCATGTTTGCCGCGGCGGAGATGAGCTCGTTGTAGTTCAGGAGCTGAGGTCGGAAGGTACTTTTCCGCATTTCACGTAACCAGAAAGCGGTACGGGCCAGGGGATCTATGTCAGCACTTTTTGCTGCAGCTTCCATGAGCTTGCCAAACGTTTTGCCATTTGGTGCAATGCGCTGGCCTCTGCTAAAGCTCACGACATACTGAGGCACGCACATAACTAAAATCAAGCAACTGGGCCCAAGACCACACATTGATTCATAAAGTTGCTCTGCTTTGTCGAGGTTGCCAGCATTTGCGCATGCTTTGAGCATGGTGTTCCACAAATATCTCCTGCTGCATGCTATCCATGTGCTTTGAAGACAAGACTACAAGACACCATTCCTACCCTCCAGTCCTTCTTGAAGGTCCCCACGTGCTGCTCTTGCCCTCCCAATGCCCAAAGACTTTCTCAGCCATGTCAACGTGGCCTGCAATTGCAAGCAGGTTGAGCTCCTCGAGATCTGCAAGGCTTTCAGCCCATGGGATCCTTGCATGCGTCGCAGGACGGATCGACCAGCAAAGGCACGACCGCGAGTTAATGGGATAGTGCCCGAAAGTGTTTCGGCACACGTTCAGGTTGGTCGGAATACGAAATTTCAGCCGTATCACATGCATCGAAAGATCCGAGCAAACATCTTGACCTCCTCCTGGTGCTTGGATGCCCAGAAGGAGAGGCGCCGGCGCTTTCCGGGCAAGAAATGCTCACATTGTGCGATGTCCTCGGTCATGCTGGCCTTCCGCAGAATCTGTCCCAGCAAGGTGGCCATGCGCTTTGAGAGAAGGCTGGCGGCATAATAATTGAAATATTAGTAATAGTCAAGAGCGAGGATATAATGTTTAAACATATATAGAGATATAACCTATATATATATATGCATATATATATATATGCATACTCATACATATACAGGGATTAAGAAGGAATTATGCATAAGCATATGTACATATAGAGGGCATGTGCAGGATACAGCAGAAGCAGATTCAGTCACAGCTGCACTAATGATAGTCGTGACGGTTGCAGTAGCAGTAGCAGAAGAAATTACATGGCAAGGTCACCGAAGCAGCGTTGCAAAGGGCTCCGTTTCTGCACGGTCGCTCTCGCGAAAGCGCAGGGAAAAGAGAATCGGCAGCTCTACTTCGCCTGTCCGAAACTGCGCAATCAACACGATGGCTACGGTTCTCGTACGCAATTGCATGAACTGGCCTTCTTGTTGGTGAGGACGCGGATAATCTGAGCTGAGGGACGAGCCACCGGCTTCAATATGTCATCGCGGCGCAGAACTTGGACCTGCAACATGCGTACCAAGATGGTCCATGCATGTGCATGCAATTGCACGCACCCCTCTCAGACGTGAACAATGTTCAAGACTACATTGGGATCGAGTGGCCTGTGTGGAACCACTGCCATCTATGACAAGCACCTCTGCTCGAACAAGATCCCCCCGCACCATTTGCCTGAGTCATCGTTCTTGAGTCTGCGGCGCCAAACACTCTGCACAAACATCTGTTCGTTTTTGCGGAGCGGCTCATTTTTCAGTGCAGTGTAGACCTGCCAAGGCTACAGCTACGAAGTCAGCCGAAATCGCCAAGACAGCAGGCCCTGGCCTCTTCCACTGTGGAGAATGGCCGAAGCATCCTCATCAAGCTGACCGTGAGCTATGTGAGCACACTTCGGCACATTCCTTCAACACCCTTTAACTGTAGCGTCCAGCAAGCCAAGCATCAGCATTGTGGACAGTTTGGTCGGCTTGGTCTTCTCGCCTGGATAACCACCCGCAGACGGGCCACCAGGCCTCTGACTGGGTGTACATCTTCAGGGTTGTCCAAGTCGTGTATACGGGTTATTTAAAAATACATTGGGGTTATAATGCAGGAAATACTGCCTCTCAGAAATCCTGCCTCTGCAGACTTTCCATGGTTGAGAAGTCGGCTACAGGGCAGCAGAAGATAGGCTTTCGCCGATAGACTGCTCGAGAAAGTACCTCCAGGCTTGAATCTCTTCTGGCTGATAGTCTACTCAAGAAGACATCTCAGCAATCCACAGAGGATTTTAAGCTCCGCCTCCATGACACCTGTAGAGCCGTAGACGTCCAGGACTTTTTGACGCAAAAGCTTCACCTGCAAAAGATTAACTTTGGAGCCTCTAACATGGGAGTTCAGACACAATCCAGCTCAGAGGTATTGAAATGGACTATAAAGCAACTTTGCCTGCTCCGCAACCTCGGGAGAATCACCCAAGAGTGAGATCGCAGCAGAACCACCGCCGTCCACATATGCCAGCGTGCCTGACATTCTATTGGCTCAGGGGCCCGAGCTTCATTTTGTTCGCAGGTAGGTAGGTCTCTACGGGAATGCTCGATCCATCGCGCCTTTGCGCCTCTGCTGCCAGAGCCATAATTCACTCCGAGCAGAGACAGGCACACAGGCATCGCCCAAGGCTGCCTGCAGAAGTATGGAAGATCTTGCCTGTGCATGAGAAGGGCTGTTGAATCCCATCCGCACCTGCACGCGTGGAATATGATCTACTGATTCTGGTGTGTCAGCCTGTGGCGGCAGGAGGCTCAAAGCAAGTCAAAGCAGACTCCTTCTGACATTTCGACAAGTTTGAGCCGCCCCACTGCTTTCCGAAGCACTTGCCTTGTTCAGCGCCACCACAATCGGGAAGCGGACTCGCAAAAAACATGCCACCAGCAGGTGAAGATTCGACTCTGTCCATTGCAAGATGTCCTGCGGCAGCATGCAGCTCAAGAATGACTCGTGTTGCTCTAGTCAACAGCGAGCTCCGCTATGCATGAAGCTCACGCACCTGACACACTCGGAACACAAAGCCATGCCATGAAGCAGAGCAAAGCGTCTCCTCTGCCAAGCTAGGCAGGCTGTGCCCTGTTGCTTCGTAAACTTGCGCAGCCAACTGCTGGGAAGCTCGATAGCCTCCGCAACATGAGCACGGGCATGAGGCTGCAAAAGGTTCAAGCTGCAATGTTGCGCGGCTGTCGCCATCTCACAGGTACAGCGACCCATCCGACAGTGGAAGCCATGTTCTCACCATCGACCCATGCCACGTCAATGACTGTAATGACATTGATATGAGAAAGCAGACTACGACAACCGAAAGCGGGTTTGGCAACACTTGCAGAGTTCATGGTTGGGAAACTCATTTTCAGCAGCAGACGCCCAAATTCCTGGGAGAACATATTGAGCCGGAGCGTTGAGCAATCGAGCGCTAGAGTCGCCAGGGGCGCAAATCGAGAAATGACCAGGAAAAGTCATATCTGACAATCGAAGACCAACGCGAAAAGAATAGCAAAGTGCTGATGCCTTGACCTATACCTCAGCATCAGCAGCAGAAACCCAATCTGAGACACTTGACGTCCGAGGGGCCTGTGAACAAGGCAAACAGCCGCTCCGCCGCAATATCTCGCAGTGAGGAATTCAACTTGGCCAACTTGGCCTTCCTCCTGACCGTCTCCCACTTTGCTCGAACATTGCCTCACAGAGCATTGCTGGTATGATTGTTTGCAAGCTTACATCCGGAACCTCAGCTGCGACGACACCAACACCACCACCACCACCGCCGCCGCCACCACCACCACCACCACCACCACCACCACCATCACCGCCACTGCCTCCGCCACCGCCACTGCCTCCGCCACCGCCACCGCCACCGCCTCCACCATCGCCTCCGCCACCGCCTCCGCCACCGCCACCGCCTCCGCCACCGCCTCCGCCCCTGCTGCTGCTTCTGCTGCTACTACTACTACTACTACTGCTACTACATGCTACATGCTTCATGCTACATGCTACATGCTAGATGCTACATGCTGCTGCTGCTGCTGCTGCTGCTACTACTACTACTACTACTACTACCACTACCACCACTACTACTAGTACTAAAACTACTGCTGCTAGTATACTACTATTGCCGCCGTTGCTACTGCTTTCCGCCGCCGCCACTACCACCACCATCGTTAGGCTGAGGCTACTGCTACTGCTGCGGCTGATGCCATGTCTCCTGCTGCTTAACATCATCCCGGCTTCCTACGCCATCATCTCTGAGCTATCCGTACAGACCAGCTATACCTTTCCACTCCTCCCAATCTCCCATCTCTGCGGGGATGGGGGCACTTGGTACTCCGCGTCATAAATCGTAACAAAAAAGGAATAATGCAGCAAGCGGCAGAAGATCCACAAATGGATTTCCCTGCGCACCCAGCCAATTTCATCCATAGGGTCTGTCGCTGTCTTCCCCTCAGAAAAGGCCGGCCGTGTAGCTACTGCTGCAGTGCCCGTGGGAAGACTTCACGTAGAAAATGACCGAACTGCAGGAATGCACTGCCCGCATGATGAATACAGACAAGGCTCGGCAGAGGAGCCTTGATCGACTCCTTCGGAGTCACTTCGGCCACTTGCATCCACAACGTGAACCAAGCTATCGGCATCGCAGAGATCATTCAAAAAAGCGTTGCCACGGCCACGGCCCATATATGCACCTGCCAGCGCACATGTCAACAGGAGTGTGCATATGCTCTTACAGAGTCCTGAGGAATTATGGAATTGGACCAAGGGCACCAGGAACAAGTCCAGCAACATCCTTCAGCAAGAGAGGGAAGCGCCGCTGACTGTTGTGAGCTCTGCCATACTCTGGATCGCACTCGTCCTCAAGCGGGTTTGAAACATCGGATAACTACTCTAAACCCTAAACCCTAAACCCTAATCTAGGGTTAATGCATTTCTTGAAAGGGGGCGGGTACGCCAAGGCTAGGATAGAAAGCTCTTGCCCAATGTAACCCCAATATGTATTACAAGGGTTTAGGGTTTAGGGTTTAGGGATTTCCATTTTTTCCATTATCCCAATATAGACAATATAGACCCCAGATATAGTAGTTTCCATTTTATTTTCCATTATCCCAATGAAACTCCGTATATTACGGTAGTTTCCATTTTCTTTTCATTTTCCCAATATAACCGCAGTTTACCATTATCCCAATATAACCCCAAAATAACCCTGATATTACCCCAATCCCTAAACCCTAAACCCTAAACCCAAACCCTAAACAATGGGTACCCGTACCGGTAACTTCAGCTCGGCCTCACAACGAAGGTCCACAGATGGGCACGGAGCCGCAAACCAACCCGCTGCAACGTTCGGGTCGATGGTGGTGAAGGGGTGCCTTGCTAGAAATCCATCTAGGGTTTAGGGTTAAGGGGTTTAGGGTTAAGAGGTTTAGGGTTAAGGGGTCTAGGGTTTAGGCTTTAGGGTTTAGGGATCTAGGGTTTCGGGTTGACATGGGCTTACAATGCAGAAGATGAAAGGCCTGCAAACCCTTGATGTTGACCGTATATCAGTAAAATCCCGCGTGATTGCGCAACTCAAAATCCCACAATGTAGGCTCGCTGTAATTCCTACCCGCCAGAACGAAAAAATATGTAGAAAAGCTGAGGCAGCACCGGAAGCTGGCTAGTACTACTACTGGCTGGTACTGTTGGAACTCCAGCTGATGGATCTGGATACTGGATACTCTTAATATCCCTAAATTCCAAAGGCTCGGACCCCTGCACTCACATGGGGAAAGGGACTCTTATAACATCAGCGTCACATTGCCGCTTTATCTCACGACAGGATGCGGGGCCATGGCTGCCTCTTTGCCCGCAACTTCTGGGCAAGTAGCCGCGTTGAACAGTGTAGATTTGCCGGCGGAAGGCTTGCCAACTAGCCCGACAATGAATTCCCAGGGCTTGCCATAGCTTCCCGCACCACACTGCCGCGCCCAGGACTTATCGACATCACCGTCAGGAAGCAAGCTCCCTGCTTTCAGCTCCGCCTCCGCAAGTAGGGCTTCGTCGACCTCAGTCTCATCGCGGAGCCACCAGGCTTCAGGGCCATCATCTGCCTCCTGCAGCTCTCCCGTCTCCGTGCTGTGGCCCGCGGCCCGCTCGGTCACTTTGGCTTCATGCTCCGATATCCACTCTTGGGCTGCTTGAACCATGGCCATTACGCTGGGAAATCCCAGTGGTTCCCGCGCTGCCTCAACAGCGTCCAGTAGCTCGCGAGCATGGGCCTGCAAACTGAGGTCGCGGGCTTCTAGCTCGCAAAGACATGAAGCCTTTTGAGGGTAGCCTGGTGGAAATAGGAATCTCATAGCAGCAAAGCTATCTCCGTGTTGCAAGCGGACGGCGAGCTGCAAAGGCCATACTGGCTTAAGCACGCATAGCTCATCCTCCCCAAACATAGCGAACAGGGCCTCAACCTCATCCTTTTGTTCCTGATGAGCCATGGGCTCCGCTTCTACATCCGCAAAACAAGCTCGGCCGACTCCGCGTGTCTCCTCCCAGCGGGTCTCCAGAAATGTGGCCAGGCTTCGTACATCCTCAGCACGTTGCGGCAAGCAATGTCCACCATCGTGCTCAATCACTTCGGGATCCTGGAAGGCCTTCGCACATTGCAAGCTATCACGAAGTGGGACCACCGTGTCTTGCGCTGATGCGAAGTGCAGGGACTTCACACGAAAAGGATCTCCACTGTCCGAGGGTGGCGAGGGAGCACCCGCCATGACGGCAAAACAGAGCTCCGCAAAGAGTGGCCTTTGCGGACAGACTGTTTCCAAGCATTTGGACTTCAGGTTGCGAGTAGCTGAGTAGCTGTGAAGACTGACCGCTCTCTTTCAATCCAAGGCACGCTGGAGAATCTATCTCCTAAGTCAACACAGTCTACACCACAGTCAGAGCAACGCTCACATGGCGAAGTCTAATCATGTTCCTATCGCCCCACAGCTTCACACGTGAAAACGCAAAGAAAAAGGCGCAATTTCAAGGCTTGCAATGGTCGGCCAATGCATTCTCAGTTCCGATCGCTCCCATCCTACTCTCACCTCCCCTGCTAATGCCCTGGGCGGGATTTGGGCTGAAGGTTCTGATCACTAGCGTTCCAGGTCCCAGAGTCGAGGACATGTGTTTTTGAGTGGGTTTCATATCTTCCGTCTCAGCACCTCAGGGTGCATTTTATCTGGATCATCGTCTGTGCGATCGGTGAATTTGCCGCTGCTAGAACCCAGAACCCATCCCAAATTCTCTGGGATGTGAGATATTTTGATATCACTTCGTCAGGTGGAGGCTTCTGAAGATTCTGAGCCTTCTGGGCACCTTGTTGGGTCAGGGGCGAGGATCATGTTGGGTATGGAGGGGTACCCCCACTCCATATAAACCAATGCTTGTGCTCTATGCCACGGAATTGGAAGACCGGGCTCTGGAAGTTTGCGCTGTTCGCGTGCCATCTTGCAGCAAAGCAGTGCTGCAGCCGCTCCTTCCGAAAAGCCGAGGACACCGTCGAAGGGGCCGAGCTCTGACCAAGCTTTCGACAAGACCTCTGGAAGACATTGCCAGGACTGCCAGCACCTTCTCTGTGCAACACTCATCAACGGTCACAGCCTCTTGAACTGCGGCATCATCTGATCTGGAGGCATCTTCCGGCCACCACGCTCTCCTAAGAAGTTGAGAGCATCTGATAAAGCAATGCTGAGCCGCAATTGTCGACGCCCCAAGTCTTGCAGATCAGAGTCGTGTTGACACGCTCTCCGTGCTGCAACGGCAATTCACGTGGCGCGTCGACAAACCTGACCCAACAGTTGCGTGAGCACACGCACGGACATATGCTCTCTGTCGAACAGTTTGCACAGCTATTGCAGCCTGGTGGCACAAAATCAGCAAAGCTGGCGGATTTGCTCACGATGCGCTCGAGCTTTCTTTCGAAGGTCGAGGCCGTCTGGCACCGTCCATGTAAGCAGAGGATGCGTAGCTTTGGCTTGGAGGCTATGTACGGGTCCATGGCTCCATGCTGCAGACGCACAGGGTGCTGCCAGGGTGTTATCCTACCCTTCTTACAATGACCGCTGCAGTGAGACATTATTGAGACGCTTCTGGTTCTGTCTGTGTTGGTGAGCAACTGAAGCCCCGAAAGACTCTGACTCACTCCTGTGCTCGGGCTGCCAGCGGGGGCCAGGTGAGACAACCAGAAAATCAGTCTTGTAAACTTGGGCCTACTGTGCTGGAACCCTTTTCAGCAGCTCGAGATCGTGGGCTGTTCCCAGTAAAAGCAGCTGGCTTCGTTGGTCTCGCTGATTCTCGAACAGGGCTTGGTGAGCGCTCGGGATCTGCCCAATCTCCGAGGATGTCTGCTTCGGTAACCTCGAAATAGGAAGGGCTTAAGGAAGGAATGTCGGGGCTGCGCGAGCGTGCGGAGGAGCCGCCAAGGCTTTGCAGCTTAGAACGCTCAGGAGTTTCGAAGAGACGCAGGGGAGATTCTGGTCGGTCGAACTGCTGCAACTTTGAAGACAGGGAGCCGTCCTTCAGGGACCTTGCAGGAAAACTAGCCTGCCGCTGAGCAGTTCTGGGAGATCTGCATGGCCCGGGTGGCGCTTCACCTATACTTGGCTGGAAAGCCTGGTCCTTGAGGACTTCATCCACTGCCTTTTCAATCATGTCATCCGCTGCAAACTGATCCTGCATCGAAGAGAGGTAGTGCTTTAAGTCGCTTGTCAAGGCTTCCCTCTGCTGCCTCGATTTCTGCAGCTGAATATTCAGTTGACGGATCTGCTTGCTTAAAGAGGCCTGCACGGCATCTTTCTTGGCAAGTTGGGATGACAAGTCGTTGACTTCACGCCGCAACGTCTGGATTTCGGACTCTCTATCATGGTATTGCTGCTTTGCAGTTGCCTCCTGACGCTTAGCAGCTGTTAGGGCGGCCTGCCTCTCCAGATCTGTTGCCGTGGAGCTTGCATCCCGCTCCTTGAGCTTGCGTGCTGTGGCACGCGCCGCAGCTAGTTGCTCACTTAAGGCTTTTTCACGCTCCCGAAGCCTTCGAACCTCTTGCTCCTCGCTCAGCAGAGCCTTTGCCAAGCGCTGTTGTTCATGCAAAGGGAGCGAGGTCGCGCCGGGATCTTTGCCCGTGCTTTGAACGCCTTGCACTTGCACCTGGGCCTGCAGCTCTTCTGCATGGTGTTGAAGTTTCCTGTACTCGACGTCAATGCTCCACACAGCCGCTACGGCGTTCATCGAAGCTTCTGCAACGCGGGCAGCGGCAGCAGGCACATCAGGCACCATGGCAGGTGGCATTGGCCAAGGCCTGTTGGAGGCCACCGCATGTGCAAGCTCCTCAGACCACCTTTCCCAACCAAGGCAGAAAAGCTCCTCCACGTCGGCAGCCTCTGCTTCCGCGATACCCTGGTATTGGTTGTGGCTGCCTTGTCTTGCAAGGTTGTTGGCAGCACGCGAAGGCATACCGCCACAAGTCCGCTGGCCAGATCATTTACCCAATGGTGTTCTGTATTCATGTGTGCAAGAGTGCTGGCACATTTCCGCTTGCTGGTTGAGCTGAAACTTGTGTTTCCGGACTGTTCCAAGTTGCATGAAAAAACTTGTCTGTAGAGTGAAGAATTCTGGTAGTGCGAGTGCAGCAAGCCGAAGGGTTTCAGCAACCGTTTGTTCAGCAAATTCGCGAGTGCGCTCGCGAACATGGTCTACCAATCTACCAAGCCATTTCTTGTGAGGGGCGCTGCGTGTACAGAGCTGCACAAGGTGAGACGAGGAGATGAAGCCCCCTCGGGCTATCTCTGAGTTGTCAAGCCTACGGCCATCTCGGCGTCCTGCTGTGTGTGAGGATCATCTGAAGCTTTCTGCAGCCTTCGCTTGTGCAACCTGTGCTGAAAGCGCTACAGACTTGGTTGCGCATCCTTTCCTGGTCAAGAGTGACGCATGTCTCAGGACTTGGCTTTGATCGCTCATGCTTTTCCTTGACCTCTGACGAAGCGAAGAACCGATTGCCTCATGACTTTGATTCATCGGCTTTGTTTGGAGTCGGCAGTACAACTGCTGACTCTCCCTCTCTTTCTCTCTGAGGACGTGGCAAGCTATGCAGTAGAACTGCCCCATCCCTGGCCTCAGTAGAAGGCAGTAGACGCGTCAGCCTAAACTGGGTTGCTGTTAAAGAACTTAATTTGAGTTACTATATTGGGGAAACCAGAATAATTACTATACATACCCAGTATGGTACCTTAATTTAAATTCCTTAACAGCAACCAATTCAGCTGTACATAGAAGAGCAAATCATGAGGGTACTGAGTGGAATGCAAGTCTTCATCACGTGGAAGCGTGCCAGGCTGAAACTTTTGCGGTGCCTTTACCAACGGGTTCTCAGTAGCGAATAGGGAAATATGATCCCTGTGTTTTTATCTTGTTTGCTTCTCTCCTACCAATCCTAAAGCCAAAACCCTAATCCCTAAACCCTACATCCATACACACACATACATGTGTATATGCAGCCCTATAGATTCCCTTCTGAGACCCCCAGTAAGAGTTTACAAACACCACAGGCAAGTGCACACGCAGCCGACCGCAGCTCGCCTTGAGATCCTCGTGTACCTGCTGGGTTGCTGTTAAGAAACTTAAACAAAGTTACCATAATATGGGTTTATAGGGTTTAGGGTTTCAGTTACCATAACTTAAATCAAGTTACTACATTAAGGAAACCCCTAGACCCTTAACTCCCGCGTATATATATATATATGTGTGTATACCCATTGCGGGTATCTCGTTAGCGGCAACCAAGCCTGATCGATGTCCTTGTTGCGCCTCTTTGCCGCTATGACCGAGGGCCTGCTAAAATCTCAGAAAAAAAAGCACAAGATTCCAATTTGCATATGCTAGCGGACGAGAAAATGGAAACTACTGTAGTATGTTGGGGTATATGTTGGATTATTGTAGGGCTTCCAAGCTGGCTTCAAGACTCTACGGCTGTTTTTGGCGACTGTGCTTGACTTGAAGGTGTCCTCCGAATGTCTGGAGGTGGCTCTTTTTCCAAGAGCAAGCTGTTTCGAGGATAATCCGTCACAGCCTTGCCTAGTCTTCTTGTTCTGATTCTTGTGCTTCCTGCCGGTGTGCTTGTTGCCACGCATGTGGATGGACTCGATTCCTTGGAGTTACTCGGTTACTCGCCATGGAAAACTAAACATCTTTGATGAAAACAACTCATCGCAGCTCCTCAAGCCCAGGTTCCGGGAAGCTCGCAGCGAGCGGAGTCTGATGTTCTAAATAATGCTCCGCTTGGGCCAAAAGGGAAAAAAAGAGCAGAAAAGTGCAGCATCCTGGCTGCCTGTGAGCGGGCATGCATCGAGAGGACCGTAGGTAGATGAGCCCCTCCTTCCCACGTCGCAGCGGTTCTGCGTCCGACAAGGCACTTGCGTTTAGCAAGTGGCAGTCCGCATACCAAATTTTTGGTGTCTTTAACTCGCCTGCTTTGAGACGCTCCATTAATGATGCTTTCCCGGTTTAATTACGCCATGCACCATGTGGTACTTGCTATCTCCTCTTCATGCCTTGGCCCTGAAACTTGTACATAGCCACCGGCTCTGCTGAGCAGCGCAGGTGTAACTTCCGGTGACAGTTTTTTCCTCACAGAAAACATGGAGGTTTCCCAAAATTAGGGGTACCTTTTTGAGGGTCCCACAAATAAGGATTATAGTATTTTGGGGTCTATATTGGGGTCCCCCTATTTTGGGAAACTACCACAGCAGCTGCTGCAAGTTTTTTGGCCCTTGCACTGTTCTATGCAACATTTCTCCAGCGCGCCTGTCTGGGATTAGAACGTGGACCCAAAGCCACAGGCTTGTCTCTGCCACGGACAACACCGCGAACAAGCAATAAAGCATGCCTTGCTGCCAAATGCTCCAAGTTTTGGCACGACTCAATGGTGCTCATGTTTCAGCCAAGGTGCTGCTAATTCTGCCTGCTTCCTCAAACTTATCGGATATCACGGCGCCATCAGAAACAAACACATGGCAGCTCGCCCGCCCCTGCCAGCTGCAAGCGTTGTCAAACTCTACTCTCCTCGATGAATAAAGCCAGGACATGCGCAAAACATGTTATGCAAAGATTAAGTTTCTCTGCTGGTTTCAGGCGAAGACAACGAGACGGGCTGATGCCATCAAGAGCGAGCTACAGGCAAATGGGTCACTCGGGGCCAGTTGCCAACCAGTCAGATTATGGCTCATAGTTTCCATTTCATTTTCCATTTTCTTTTCCAGTTGATTCTCCATTATAGTAGTTTCCATCTTATTTTCCATTATCCCTATATTACCCCAATAAATACCCTATTAGACTATAGCTCATATGGGATTGCCGCCCTGGCCTTCAAGGCGAAGTCGAAACTGTAATAGGATACCGCCAGCATCGGGATAGAGCACGCGATCATCATCCCAAAAAATCCCAGCCAGAAGGCAGAATTCATTATCAGAGGACTGCAGCGACAAATAGATTCGGAACATCTAGCAAACTTATCAATTTCATTCAGAATGCAGACCACGACGTGCACCACCACAACGCATGCCTGGGCCCATATGTCTCCATGATCCTACATAGTTCGCGCAGAACAGCAGAAACGCTGAACAGAGACAAGTCTCCATCCCAATTTCCGGAACATGCCTCAGAACCGCGGGACTGTGCACAAGGGCTGGTGATGCAAGTTGTGAAGTGCTGAGGTGTGAGCGCCATCAAAGCATGCCCTTGTCTCCATACAATCAAGAACATGGTGCCACGCACAGCCTGCGATCAAGAAGGCTGGACAGCGCACACATGCATGTTCACCGCACTGGGCCATACTCACGCTCATATATACCCAAATGATAGCCCTAGCTTGAAAACTATGCACCTGCAGTGCCAGGCACAGCAAGATCGACATCCTGAGTGATGGTTCCAACCAAGACAGTCCGCGCATCCTGTCCCATCTGCAGACTCAAGCTTTGCAAATGGGATGAATTTCAGCTGAGCATCACCTTGATGCCAAGCCCTTCCATGTGCTTGTCGCAACGAGATCGCATCCTGGGCAGTCCTTGCCATGCGGGCGTGGTAAGGACAGAAGTGGTCAGGGGATACTGAGCTTCCAGCCGAAGAGGTGAGTGCAAACATCATGAACATTGCTAACAACGAACTTCACCGCCAGCACGAGGAGGAGCAGCATGTTCAATATTTCAAACTTCCGCTTTCGCTCACTCGCTACCGACTTACTGCCTTCCTCACACCATGAAGGAGGCACAGATTCATCATCCATGGAAGAACAGGCCTCTTCTTGGACCTTTCAAGTGTATCATGTTCCATGTCGCAGCTTTTGTCTGCCTGGACTGGCCTCGTCTACTTGGCCCTCAACGAAGACCATGCCAAGGTACTTGTCCTCGGCATTTGAAGCCAGGCGGACTGCAACATACTGGGACCTGTTGCACTGAGGCCCACGAAAGGTAGCTTCCCTAAATAAGTGGACCACAACATAGACCCCCAAACACTATCGTCGTTTTTAGGGGACACCCAAAATGGTACCTCAGATTTTGGGAAACCCCCAGAACTGCAGGCGGCATGCTATCGGAACCCAGCGCAACAAGGGCGAAGCTCTGACTTCCAAGCAAAGAGGCAGACAAGCTGGACAAAGCAAAATGAAGGTGAAACTAGACCTGCAGGTTCTGGGACCCACCATTGTAATAATCACAATGCTAGTTAAAACAGCAATGATAATAATCCATAATAATAATGAATAATAATAACAATAGTAATAATAATAACTAATAATAACAATAATAATCATCATTAATGAAAATAAAAATTAATAATAGAAAGAAGATGATAAAGGTTTGTGCATGGCATGGCTCGGCTGGATCGCCAAACGCCGTGCAAGGCTACAGGCATCTGTCTGCATCATTAGCCGCTCAGTGCAGCTTTGGGCTGGCCCCTCCCCGATTTCTGCAACACCTGCATGTTGAAGATTCTGAGAGCGCTCTCCACAGGCTCTGCATGAAATTTTGCCTCTCAAAAGTGGGTGCCTGCGCCCTGCCCCTGCAAATTGATGCTTTATCACGTTGGAAACGTAAGCGCCTTCGGTTCTTGTGCGTTAGCACTGAAATGATTCACTCCGACCACGGTTTATGACTCGCACTGCAAGGTCCACTTTCGGCTCAGTGCTAGCACGACCTGCTGCAGAATCCAGCGTAAGTCGCCCAAAGGCAGAACAAGTACAAGCCTGGTTGAAGCTCTCAGTTAAAGTGTTTGACTCTGGTTGCGCTGTGGATAGGAAAAGCGTTCTAGCTGTCTGTCTTTAGCAGTTCACTGCAACTTTGTGATGGTGCACCGGATCTGTGTAACGAAAAAACCAGATAGTGCTGGAGCACGCAATCAGCCCTGAAAGGGAAAGCTAGAGTCTGCTTCATGTTGCTGAAGAATATCCATGCACAACCCGGAACTTAAACCGTCAGGAGCTAGAGGACTTAACACATGGTGCTTTTCACTGAGCTGACGGGGCATGGAAACTTGCAGCCACAAAGGTTCAAACATGAGGACTTGCAGTTCAACTTGGCGCCGAGCTAAAAATTTCGGCTTGCCAAAGATGAGTGTAGTATTCAGACAGGGTGACGCCACCCGCTTGAAGTCGACGTCGCGAGGCGTACCGCGTGCTTGCCTTGGATGGACTTAAGCTTGATTGGGAACTCACTTGACAATGGTCTTGTGTATGGGGGACCGAAGGGGATCTTAAGTCATCCTTGAGCCCTTCAAAGTAGAGAAGAAAACCAAATTTCAAGCCCCCAAAATGTCCCCTTTGTTTCGAAACCTTGTCCACTGAGCAAGGATTGTATAACAGAATGATGGAGAATCTCAGAATCTTGATGACTGCTGTCAAGGTGCCTTGCCAGTTTTGCAGCAAAGGACTCCCAATCCTGCATGCTGCGCCATAGCTTGTCCTTGCCATGGTGAATGTTTGCGAACACTCATAGGGGATTATATTGGGATACTAGGGTTTAGGGTTTAGGGGATTATAGAGGGATGGGGGATACATGAGGACAGGGTTATTAGGGGGATGCTAGGGTTTTGCCGTTTGCATGGCTCGGACAGCATAGCAAGGTTCATTCCGGTACAATCCGTGGGCAAGCAAGGCGCAGGCCTACCATCAAGTGCCCAGAGTCGGAAAACCACTAAGCTAAAACCCGCTAAGCTAAGCAGCCCACACCAAAGATTGCAGGCCTGTCGGGAAGCATCTGCGTCAGCACACTAGACGCCCAAATGGGAAACTTGCAACCATCAACTCAACTACATCCGTTGCCTTCCTATAGGCTAGTATACTAGGGTTTAGGGTTCAGGGTTGCTGCGGGGACAGCAAGACCTCCTGCACACGACACGGCAAAAAGCGTACTTTCACTTCAACTCATGCGCTAATCTAAGTTGTGCCTGCACCCAGAAAGCAAAAAGCAACTGACACAAATCGCGTCCGCGGACCCCCAAGGTGACAACAATTAATTGTAAAGATATCGAAGGCCCCAAAACAACAGAAGTTACCAGCAGCGCTTCCTTGGCCATACAGACAGAAGAATAACACCATATATAGCGGTTATATATATATATACATATATATGGATTGCCTAGGGTTAATGGACAGTAGAACGGACAGTTTTTCTTTGGATTTAGAATATACAGAGAGTACATGCGGGGCGAGAGTTTGATCTGAAAGCAGAGGGCGTTGCGGGAGACCTATGCAGTTTGGTCTGATGTTAGCTGATGGTGGCTTCCGTGAGGATGAGCTAACGGCCAACAGCATCGGTCAACTAAAGCAAGTAAAGTCCATCTTACCCCATATAACAAAATGATAGTAGTTTCCATTTTCTTTTCCATTATCCCTATATAACCCCAATATAAGCCTAATATCAACCCTAGCTACTGTGGCAATTTTTAAACAGTCCATGGAGTCTGGAGGACCATCCTGGCTCAGGTGACAATTCAGAAAACCTTTCCAGCCTAGCAGAGTAGCCAGGCCAGGAACGGAATAAGACATCTCCTTAACGGTTTCTGGCACTTTCGTCCCATGCTGCGCTGACTTCCTGTCCACAGATGCTCAACACATGATGCGGAAAGCTTGGATGTGGGAGAACTGAACATTTCAAGGAAGGCCTCGAGGTCAAAGCTGCTGCAATTGCATGTGGAGGCCAGTATGCCACGGTACGATTTCGCACAGGTGCCATGCAGAGGTAATCCCTCTCTGCGATACTTCTGTTGAGCCCCTCCTCCCACCGTGCAGTCATCTCATCAACGCCAGCGCAATCTTTGAATACGACAGCTCGAACTACTCCTGCGAAAGGTGTCGTCATCACCTAAGTCTAGTCATGCTGACTGTCACCTGCTGCCGCTTTAGCATGTCAGCCGTCAACAAGCATTGCTGCAAATGTTGCAGCTTGAACTATGGCTAGCACGGCGTAATCCCGCACCTCATCGAAGAGGCCCTTATGCGTGCTCCGCAACCACTCGTTCTGCATGGTCCCCGCCAAGCATGTAGTCCACCAAATGACTCCCCTGCAGCCGCTACAGCAGCAGTACAGCTCAGGTGGATAAGCGAGAAAACCGAATCCATGGAAGAAGGCTATGGAGATGGGTCTTTATGAGCAGCTGACAGGGTTCTTTGTGCTGTTTCACATCCTTAAGCAATTCCAAGACAGAACACGCTACGGCATCAACGTCATATTTGGGCACTGCGCAAACTTTGCGAAAGTTGCTCACCGCAATGAGTTCACGCACACGAACAAAGATAAAGTTTCCCCGGATTTGTCAAAGACCTTCTGGACGCCTTGCGTTTAAACAGCAAGCCCAAACTACTCAAGCGCTTGGAACAGAAACATGCTGCAACATCCAATCGTTCTGTGCCTGTCCAGCCTGAATTGATGTGGCAGCAGGAAGCTGCCCGCCCACTATTTTTTCGATTTCTTGAGGTGATGAAGCCTAACTATGGGGGTCATTGCACCCGAGATCATGCCTTTGCACTTGGGGATCTTCAGGGGTGGTCCACCCCAAAGACACGGGACAAACCCCTAGCTCAGGATCAGACATCTGCGCTACGAGGACCAGATAATAGGCCTCGGCATCCGAGCCCCTCACAAGATGAACCCCGGCACTTCGATCTCATGTTCATGGGACAGTTGAGAAAGCAGAAGCAAGCACTAGAATCACCAGGACCTGATAATTGCACGGCATGTGGGATAGATTACCCAAATAATGGAGAATCAAATGGAAAAGAATATGGAAACTGGTTTGTAGGGATAGGGGGGGTTCCCAACAGTGGGGGATTCTTGAAGTTGCCGATTTGGATTGCCAACTGTCCCCTTCGATCGTGGACATGCATGATTTCTGAGAAGCCCTGAACACAGAATGTCCAAATCCAACAAATGAATCAACAAACTGATGGTCACCAGTTTGTACATATTAGGTCAGATACTTCTCCCACCCAATCAGCCCCCCAAGCAATTGAAGCACATGTGGCCCTTTAACATGACTGCTTAGGGTGGGGGTCACATCCAAACTCTAGGGTCCCCTTCGTAGTTTCCAAAAAATAAGAACCCGAATATAGACCCCAATAGACTACAGGCCTTGTTAACAAGACGCCCCAAGTAGTACCCCTAATTTTGGAAAACCCCAAACCCTAAAACCCGACATATCCCTGTAACCCCTTTAATTAAAAGGTACCCCAAATTCTGGGAAACACCCATATCCCTATAAACCACTACATAAACCCAATTTACATTTCAATTTCCATTTTTTGTCCGTTTGATTATCCATGCTTGGGGAAATATGTCCCATTATACCCCAAAGCCTGAACCCTACTTACATATCCCTATTACTCTTTTGACAGGTTCCCCCTCATTTTGGGAAACGCCCTAAACCCTAAACCCTAAACCCTAAACCCTAAACCTTCAGCTTCTGCAGCCCAGGGGGCGATAGCTGCTCCTGCCATGGCCCCTGGCTCCAGCAAGCGAAGGCTACAAAAAGGATTTTGGTAACCCCAACCCGCCAAATTAGGACCCTATGACCACCGTATGATGGTTAGGGTCCTGATTTTGAGGGTTCTGGTTACCAAAATCCTTTCATTGATTAAAGGCGTCTTGCTTGATAATCGCTTCCCCTCTCAACTTACCAGGGGTTTGTAGGGAATATATTATAGGAAGTATATTCTCATGTTCTCTCCTTGGAACCAGTAATTCAAAATTGTTGGGAGCTTAGTATCAGATCCAGGCTTGCCACTCCCTATAAGCTGTTCTATGAACCCAGTTTCCATTTCATTTTCGATTTGATTCTCCATTATCGAGGGGGGCTTAACAGAAGCGCAAGCTCTCACTCCGGCCGAGTGGAACCAATTCAGAGAACTTTAGGAGTATACTTCAGAAACGTCCTAGACTACACCCCTAGAAGGTTTTGTGCCGTCTATGCCCCACTTTGTCTAATGCCGGCTGCTCGGGGGCACGCATTCCAGGGGTTGTCATCAGAGAGTTCGTCCAAGTCACCCAGACGGAATCCTCAAGACGGAGCCCCTATGATCAAGTCAGCAAGCGGGTTCAGGGGCAGCGCGTTTTCCCCATGCCTGACAGTTTAAACAAAATCTCCTACACTCTACACAAGAAACATTCCTTACGATAGTTGGCCCAGCAACACACAAGTCGTGAGACAGCTGACGTTCGGAAACTTTTGCGAATAGTGAATATCCATCATGATCATGAGTATCAACATCAGTGTGACCATCACGCCCCCATGAGTAGAATTACCTCGATCTGAGCCGGTTAGACACATATTCAAAGAAAACACGTTGGCCGACAATGGTTGTCCCGGCACAATCCAGCTTGAGGAGGGTTGCCAGTCTCGATATGAGGGTTTCCCAAACTGGGGGTACAATTTTGGGGGGTCCTGATTTTGAGGATCATAATCATAGTACTCTGGGGTCTAAAATGGGGTCCCCTTAATTAGCCAAACTACCATATTCCCCTGCCAGGACATGTTGCACTGACCGAGATGCGTCTAACTAAAGGCAAATTTGGAAATCGTATGGCGAAACTACTACTTTCAATTCAGGAACACATTGGTGTTCTTGCCGGCCTCGCTTCCCACTTTCAAAAAATCTATTTCTATCCCTGTTGAAAATACTCATGAGAAGCGTCAAGCATACGAGTCATGCACCCAAGATTGCAAGAATCAAGTATAAGCTAAGGAACGCAGTCCATGGTAAAACCCTTCAACATGCTTTTCGGGAATCATTCAGTACTGGTGACCACGGCACGCACAACATGCACCACCAGAACGGTAATAGTGGAAGCAATACCAATTACAAACATAGTGGGTCTAGTAAGATTGACAAAGAAATCACGAATGAACATGACAACAGCAAGGAAAGTGCCAACGTGCCAGACAGCAATGGTATGCAGTTGAATGTTGACGACCACAACAATGTCACAACAATGACCAAGCATACTGCCACTGACAGTGTTCTCGTATCAATGTCAGTAACAAAGTAGAAACAACCACGACAACAGCATAAGATTGGTTTCGCGATGGGGTGCAATCTAATCTTACTCGAGTCCTGCTAGCATTGGCAACGGTAAGGAAAAATGCCAGTCGCAGTCGTGACTGTCCTAAGACTCAGTAGTCGCAGCAGCAGCAGCAGCCGCCGCCACCGCCGCTGCAGCCGTTGTATGCGCTGAAACATTCGCAAGACTACTTAGCGCATCTTTCAATCATCAGATCAGTCATTTG